ATTACATCCGTATCAAGCGAGGCATCCAAACCAAACATAACAGATAGCACCAGATGCCAATCATGAAGTCTGTTGGCGTTTCCAGGGGATGTCTTTCCGGAGTAATTGGCGAAGCTCTGGAGAGAGCACCTTGGGCTTATCGGCGTCGATTGCCTTTTGAAGGTTAGAGGGGCCAGCGTTGACTCCGCTGCTTGATCCAACAGTAGGCTGAGGCGACTTTCCCTTGCTGCCTGAAGGTGAATCTTGGCCGGTCGCGCCTGGGCGACGCTGGTGGGCGGTTGGTGCAGCAGGGAAGTTGTCTTTCTTGTCGATGGCTTGCACGGAACGCTGGAAGCGGTGGAAGAGCGATTCCGCGCGGGTGAGGATGGGTACGAGATCCATTGTGTTTGAAAGCTCGTTGACTGGAGATTGCAACGTTAGTAATTGGAAATCAATACCTATTACGTCCAGATTTCAACATACTGTATTTCAGCACCTCATCAAAGTGCTTGAGATGGTCCATGATTACATCTCTGTGCTTCTCGAGTATGGCGAGCGCAATGAACAGGTGGAAACTGCTGGACAGATAATCGGTCCACAGCGTCTCCCATAGACGCAGAACATCGCTCCAGTCGAACTCCCGTTTGTACCACACTAACAGCATGCGGAAGAAGAAGAAGAAGTTAGTACTGTCGGCGGACTGCAGATGCAAGTAGAGCTGCGGGTCCATGAGCTGGACGAGGTTATCCAAGGCTAACAGCTGGCCCCGCATTCCAGACTGGTCTCGGAGGAAATTATGTTCCTGTAAATTCGCATCGGTTAGAGAGTGTGGCTTTGTACGGCGTGAAAAACATACCATTCGATCCATGAACCCGACAAATGCCCAGAAAGCGACGGCATCATCTTGCATCACAGCGTAGATTGGTGCCAGAAGATCACTCATCCCTTGGACGTACCCGAGGTCTGGGTTGAATTCGTTGTACGTCAAGAGCATATCCTTCATCTGCTCCAGGTGCACGTTGGTACCCGTCTCGGAAAACGGAGAATCAGGATCCGGATGAGGGATGTCTTCGCCCGCAAACAAAGGAATGGTACGGTCGGTGCGGTGAACATCCTTCTCTGTATTCATGTGTTAGTGGCCACTATGTCGAATCCAGTGTGTAATCTCACCTATCCGATTCTTCTGTTCCTTCCAGTTATCAAACTGCTCAATCGTTGAGTTGCCCTCGACCATTCGCTCCCACCATCCCGCTTTCAGCCGGATATACTCATCGCGCTTGGAGTTCATGATGGCTTGGCGCTCCTCGCGGCTGCTATCCCACGAATACACACCGAGAAGGAAGAGCCAAGCCTCCTTTCTGACACCATCATTGGGATCCAAGCCGCCGTGGAAGATCCGCTCCTTGACTTCCTCTGTCGTTACCTGGAGTCTACCCGAAGTCGGGTCGAAGAAGCCCTCCCATTCTTGCAGTTGGAGAACACGGCGCCGCTCCTGGATGGCCAGGTTCCCGGTCTCCAGCTCTAAGATCTCAAAGTCGCCAACCGAGCTATTCTCCATTTCCAGCATATCCTGTGCGGTCCATATACGCTGATTTCGCTCTTTATCGCTCTGCTCGGCAACACTCATCGCCCAACGAGCCAGATAAACCCTAGCGCTGTCGAACTCATCTTGCAACGTCTGGATCTCTGGATTCTTCATTAGACGGCGCATCTGAGGCGGTATGCGAGGATTATCTGCAATCTCATTGGCCGTCCGACGGGTAAAAGTGGTGATCTTGCTCAGTTGCTCCAGCACTTTCCACCGTGTTTCTTTGAGGGTCTTCATGAATGGATCCATGCTGGCATCGGGCGCTTGGACTTGGGATCCACCGGCCGCGGCTTCGGGCTGTGCCTTTGCTACCATGGATTTGTCGCCGTGGCTCACTGGTCGGCCGAAGGACAGCTGGTCCTCATCCGACGGGTTGATGAGGTAGACGTTACGGTCCACCGCGGAGCGCTGCACGTCCGCATATTTCCGCAGCCAGCGCAGTATCTCATCACCGCCCCAAAACAAAGTCCCTTCTTTGCCGAATGGATCAAAGTTCTCCTTGACCCTCTTCCTCTTTTGTAGGATGGTTGATTCGCATTCGTCGTCATGGAAAAATAACGCGGGGAAACCATCACCCGCTCGAGTATTGATCACTAAGCTCCCAAACCACCATCCTAAGCTCGGCGGTCGTACTAATAGCGAGTATATCTCTGATAGTGGAACCGCAAAAGAATATAACCCGATGGGGTCTTTGTAGGTGGTTGTGGTCGGAAGCGGCGGAACGAGGTACGTCTGGCGCGGCGGAGAGTCACCTTCGGAGAGGTCTACTTTCACATACGTATCATAAGCTTCTCCGAGGGATGACTCTGGGACCCATGCGAGGAGATAGGAGGGTGTATCGGGGTTTTTGGAATGAGCGGATGCATGTGATGCGGGGAGAGGTTTTTGTTGGACGAGGGCGATAAAGCCAGGGATATTATCTTTGGAGGAGGAAGTTGGATGAACATAGACCTAGATACATTAGCTGTGTTTTCCTACTTGATGGAAATTGTCTCACTTTGCTTTTGGAGAAGAGCAACTTCACCCCTCTACCCGAGGCAGCCTGGGCGATAGTGTTGTATTCATCTTCTTCTTCGTCACTCATGGCGTAACAAGATGCTGGGGGCGAGGGTGTAGGAGGAGGAGTATATTTGACAGGGCCCATTATAGAAAGATGAGATCTTTGAGTTGTCAAGTTCCAAGAGGTTGGAAAGTTGGAAGTTGGAGACGACGTAATTGCCCGATAAGATACGGATCGTCTGATTTCTCCCTCTTTCTTTTTCTTTGAAGCTTTAAAGCTTTAGATCTTTGTATTGATGAGGATCTTGAATAGAAAACTACATTTCATTTTGCTCTTCGCCACTCCAGGCAGCCAAATTCATGAACTTCAGTAAACACTCTGTGATGAATGTGGGTAAATCGAATACTCTGCGATCAATGTGGATTCTAAATTTATGTCGTTCCTGATTTATAGTACTCCTTATATAGGTAACCCACCTGTTAGCCATTGAAAGACAGCAAATGAGACCCAATGATTGGAGCAACTGTTGCTATCGGACATTGTAAGCATTCGGATCTCAATATTTTTTTACATATATCTCCCATTAGCGTTATTCTTGACTCGGCTCATAAAAGTCCCAACCAGCCCTGGAGATATATTGTCTATCGGAGATTTTGCATGGCTAGAACATCCTGTGGGCTAACCGCGTGATCGGCCGTGACATCAACGGGACTTGATAACTCATTTGGGAAACAATATACCGCACCTCTCCACAGCTCCAGCACACTCAAGATTGGACAACCTTATTGCCACTAAAAATGCATTTTTATCCATCGGAGAGACACCCTGTTGACACAAAGGTGAATCTGTAGCGATATAAAAATGCTCTCTCGCTGTCGCCGTCGCAGTTAACAGTCAACTTCAACCGTGTCTATTTGATACTTGAATCTAATCACCAATTTCATCGACATCATGTCTGAGCTCACTCGTACTTTGCCTGCCTCCTGGTATTGTAGTCAGTCTCTGTATCAGATGGAGCGGCGGGCGGTCTTTCTTAAAGTATGTAACGCAGTCTTTTAGCAGTTAAGGGAGACTAAGATGTCCTCCAGTCCTGGTACCTGCTCGGCCCAGTCACTCGATTCCAGGTTGTTGGCGAGCATGTTCCCTATGAAGTTGCACAACAGCCTGTATCTGCTGTTCGCACCTCGGGGGAGACACTGAACCCCGTTGCTGAGGAGCTGAAGGTTGTGTGCGCGAAAACGGTACGGGTGAACCAGATGAAATGGGAAGTTCCTTCTAACAAGCATGCTACCTACAGGGTAAAGAATTGCGCAGTCATCTCACCCCAACTGGGCTGCTTTTCTCAACTATCTCCGATGATGCTCCCAGCTTCCATGAATTCTTCCCAGAGCTTGAGGAGCTGCTCGGCAAAGTCGACTTCACTAAGCTGCCGCACCGTCGTAGCATCAGCTATGAAGGCCGATTCAACTGGAAAACCATGTAAATTTCCCTCTTGTTATTTTCTATTGTGTTGTTATTAACTTTCGTCAGGGTCGACGGATATCAAGAGTGTCTACACTGCCAATACACCCACCCGTCCTTCTCCAAATACTACCCGCCGACCTTCTACACCGTGCGCAATAAGCACAATTTCTCGCAGCATATCGCAGACCCGAACAAGTCAGATGATGGCCTATTCCTCTACTTTTTCCCCAACTGCACACTGAACGTCTATGGGGGTGGCATGTCCTGCTTCAGAGTATGTCCGACCGCTGACCCGCATGTCACCCGGATGGAATTCGATTACTTCCACCTTGAATCCGGAGACAAGTTCGAAGAATACTTTAAATTTGTGCGTCAAGTTGCTATGGAAGACTTTGAGCTCTGCGAGAAGGCCCAGAGCAATCTAGCCAAGGGGGTCTATCACGAGGGAATCCTGAACCCAAACAAGGAGAATGGCGTGTCGTGTGAGTTGAGTCTATTAGATTGGTTGATGTACTAATACTAATAAAACATATCTCCCTCAGACTACCAGAGACGAGTCTTTGATATGGTCTGCGAACAGCATGAGTCTGACAGGACCGCCAAGGCAGCGAAGGGGTCTGTAATGGAGCAGCAGGTTGCCCCCTCCATGGCTCAAATGGCAGCGTAGTATTTATGGGAATATAGTGATTGGTCTTTGATATGAACGTTAATACAACTATATCATAACGCCTTGCATAGTGCTCACCGTATGATAAAGATAATTCTAACCTACATGATGAGAATCAGAAGTGACGGTCAGCCGAGTGATACAGCCAGGAAATTCCAACCCAATCGGGTAATATAGGGAGGTATCTGCGCTAAATGTGGAGAGTATAACGTGGAGGGGTGACAGGACAAGTATATCAGTGGCAGATGCCAACCACTTTCTATGATTCAAAACAGCAATAGTTTATTAACAGTTTAGTTGACATGGAGTCTACTGAAGCAGATTTCTTATCCTCTCCAGCCTCCCTCCTCGTGGCTTTGGTCACAATTATCTTTCTGCTCAACCGAGCATGGCCCCATTTATCTGCACCTAAAGCCGGCGAAGTCATTGAATCCGTTGCAAACACCTCTTCAAACAACTCAGACTTTACCGTTTCCAAAGAGCCCGAAATCCCAGAAGGATGGTGGAGCGGTCGGGAAGTTTTCGAGCTCGAACGACGCGCACTCTTCAGCCAAGTAATATAATTGCTACTGATATACGGCTTAACAGTATCGCTAACATACGGCTCTAGACATGGGTCTACCTTGCCCACAACTCCCAGTTTGAGAAACCCGGCTCGTATCAATCTTTTGATCTTGCCGGGTTCCCAGTCTTTCTCATTCGTGGTAAGGACGACAAGATCCGCGCATTTCATAATGTCTGTCGCCATCGTGCCTATACTATTACCAGAAGAGAGACGGGTGCCTCGACTATTCTTGGTTGTCGGTATCATGGTTGGAGCTATGATACCACTGGTCGACTGGTGAAGGCTCCTCAGTTTGATGATGTTCCTGGGTTTGACAAGTCGCAGAATAGTCTGTTTGAGGTTCATACGCATGCCACTGACCAAGGAATGATTTTTGTGAATCTCAATTCTGGTGAGCCGGCTGCATTTGACAGTGGGATGACTTCGGATTTGAGCAGATTCGCTGGTTTGGAAGCGAAATCTACTTGGGTTGCAGGTCAGACTTTGTCGGGGGACTTTAACTGGAAGGTTGGAGGTAAGTAACCAATTTGAAGAATTCTTGAAGACAATGGCTGATATTGAATAGCACGATCCCGTCAGCTCGATGCGTACACCAGTGGGCTACATCGCAGAATGTCTGAACTATCGAGGCCATCTCCTATCATGAAGCTTGTCAGGTCTATTAGACGGAATAGCACCCGGCAAGAGTGTTTCTTGTTTCCTACTACACTTATGTATTTTTTTCAAGACGTGGGCATATGCCTCGCCATTTCCTTCTTTCCCGCCTCTGAGTCGAAGACGAATATTCGCTACGACCTCTTCGCCCTGTCCGCTGTGAGTGAACCTGACATTCGGAAAATGTCCGAAGTACTGCAGAGCTGGACGTACAATTTGGCTGCAGAGATTGAGCTTGAGTATCAATCTATCTTGGCCAAACAAGGGTATAACTATATGGTATCTGATGCCCGACAAGAATTGTTGCTAATCTTTGAACTAGGTGTTCCAGCGAGTTAGATGCTACAGGTATTGTCCTTGAATATAATATTTCTTTCAATTGCCTAATTCAATTCAGCAGATATACGTCAGGTTTTGAGTCGACTCGAGGAGCACACAAAGCTCGAACGGATCGAAGGAGGTCAGATCCTCCCGGCGATGCACAAGCCAGAAGGGAGCGCTCTGTTCCAAAAAGCAGACCAATGTAAGTGCTTTAGTCTCCAGTTTAATTTAGTATATACTGATGGATAGCAGTGTGCAAAGAGATAGACTGCCTGAACGGTGGATCGCAACACGGTACTTCACCAAGTACACTTGACTGGTAGATCTGTCCAAAGTTCTTTGCTGCTTTTGTTCAACCTCTTTATTTGATACTTGGCTTGATCGCTGAAGGCAGATTAAATGGGATAAGAGGCGTTATACAGTAAGCAATGATATGTTTCAAGAATATGAGAAGAAACTATTCGTAAATTTCTGAAATAGAAAGGTACAGAACCGGACAAAAAGATGACGAGCTCGAATAAGAACATCAACGACAAATGTGGCCACTGAAATTAAATCAACTAGAAGCCACTAGGCAAATACCAAAAAAGAAATATCATAAGCAGGAAGCGTACTCCCATGCTTCATCCAACAAGCAACAACAATCCCTCTACCAGTACCAGGCCGAGACACAACCTCTCAACTTCGGCGATTTGGTCCCTTGCGCACAGTCTTGGTTATCATACTGCTAGTATCTCTGATAGGACCGAGAGTCTGTCTCCCACCACTGCGAGCAGTAACATGAGTGGGCCTATTCCTCCTGATACTATCCGCGCGAGCAGGAGATTGCCCGTTACCGGCATCAAACATCATTAGTACATCACTTGAAGAAGACCTGCGGAACTTAGGGCTCCTGGGTAAGCTTGCCTCTAAGCGACGCGAGGTCTCCCGCGATGTGGTGCTCCGAAGCAGCCGCTTCCCTGTACCGATGCTGAATTTAAGGGCACCCAGATCGTTATCGCGGAGGTACGCCTCCAGCGACAGGTGCCATTCACTGCCGGCCCAGTCATTAGATAGCCGGCGGATAAGAGCTTGCATCTTGCGCACTCCGAGAAGGTCCATCACCTCTTGCGTGGGCTCGCTGGCTCTGCTATCGGCGAGCTTGCGCCTGTGCGAGGCGAGCCCTTCAGCGATCTCGGTGCCGAATATCTTGCCGTATTGGTTAGTGAATAGTGTATCTGGTAGATGTGAGAGGATGATGGCGAATATCTCGCCGCTGTGAAGGTATGAGCTTCGAGCCGCGCAGATTAAGGCGTACCCCTGCGGGCCTCCGTCTAACCTGGGCTGCATGGGATCGCATTTCTTGCACAGCCAGTCGATTGCGGCTGGCTCGTCGAAACATGCGGCGTACATCAGCGGGTTCATGTTTTCCGAATTTCGGACCTCTGCGTTGAGCATGGAGAATTTATCAAGCCAGGTCATGAACTCGCCTCCAGCGGGGTTGAAGGCTGCTGCGATATGCCAGGAGGATTCTAGCTGTCCGCCGAGTTCGTGGTACTGGTGCTCGACGTTTCCGATGTTGATTCCGTGCTGGTAGAGTGCTTTGGCCACGGCGACGGGTGCGACAGCGCAGAACTCATGCATCGCTGCTTCGTGGAAGATTGTGCGAAGTTCTTCGACCGGCACGAGGTTTGCCTGGCGTAGCCTGTTCAGGGCAATCACGAATTGAGAAAACGCACCAACACCAACGAGTGAGAGAAGAATATGGTTCTGGCGGGTTTCTTTAATGTCTCTGGGTTTGATCAGATGTTGAGGATCCGCATTGTTTACCATGAAGGTGAGCAAATCCATATTGGGACCATTCAATCCTGCTTCAAGCCAGTTTCTTCCGGATAAGTCATAACCATTGGGCGTGACAATCTCAAAATAAACCAGGAACTCTAAACAGGAAGAGCATTGCATTGCGGCATCGTATGCAGGATTGGTCTTGAATGGATGGTTATCCGTTTCTCTTGGAAATGTAGTGCAGTCCGACAAATGGCCCATCACATCTTCATAATCTGTGTAGGATCGAATCAATTCCCTCCATTTTTCGACGGTACCAGAACGCTTGAACCATCTTTCCACACTCGATCTGAGGGGACCATTCTCTTTTGCGAGTCCATGCATAGCGTGGATCTTCTTTTCATCCATATATCGAACTCCCAATGAGAAACCAACCATTCGATCAAATATAGTCTCGAGTGCCTTCTGAGGGAGCTGGGGAAGAGGCAACCTGGTGGCCCATTGGATCTGCTCGGCTGCTGTTTTCTTGTCTACGTTGCTTGGCCAGGCAACCTGAAGCACACCACCTTTGACATTTCCACTTTGCAATCTGTCGAAGATAACTCCCCAAACTGCGGGACCCCAAGATTCCAGGATCTCCTCGTCGAAACGAAACATGGTGGATGGACTTGAGAGGGGTTTGTCGATAAATCAAACTTGCCTCGAAGCATTGACACACAGCTATTTTATATCTTTTTCACCCTTCCAACACCCCCCTCGACATCGGTACGTGACAATTCTCGGATTTTCCTTTGATCAAAGGAACCAAAGGAACTAAGGGGATAAATATAGATTCGGTTCGTAGTCATTGGACAAGAAGAAACATGAATTACTCTTACAACGGTAGAGGACGATTCTAAGAGCACAAATGAACAAAGAGTCGAAGAACCAAAATTTGTTCTGGAGTGGCATAGCATAGTATGCCTCTTATGCATACATTTGAAGTGGAATATTGAGCCAGTTATGGAAGTTAAGTTTACCGTGAGACTCATGCGTCAGTTCTGTATGGATGGAGAATGGAGATCGCTAATGTTTATTCCTGAAGTCAACACTACCAAGTTCAAGTTTTATTGTTTAAAAAACACGATTGCAGAAGAATGCATAGTCCAATCACACAATACTTATGGCCATTGAAGAGGGTCGGGAATTCGACGAAGTGCAAAGTGGCTTCGATGGGGTTCATCTTGAGAACAAAAAGTTTCTTTCACAACTTGAAAGGATAACTTCTGAATACAAATTGAATCGACATATTTTGTTTATGGAAAATCTACCCAACAGTTCAGCTAAACCCTAATCCTCAGACTTAGTTCTACGTGATCAACCACTGCACTGCGTGTAAATGGGTATAGCAGAGAGATCTAGACACTGAATCGCACAAAGGATGAAGATCGCTATCGAAGTTGAAAGCAAGTTGCCCGACTCCAAGTTCGACAAAGAGGAATTCACATGCAAGATAAAGCAAGCCGTTCTAATGATACAAAGAATACCATGGACACTCCATGGGAATATAAGATTAATTAGACTCTATCTATTTATAGTGGTATGTTGTGCAAACTAGGACTAAAAATCGTATAAGATTTTTGCACATCAAAATTGAAGTCAGCACTAAAAGCTGCCCGGGATAGATTTCTATTGTTGGTAGTGTCAACCTGCATTGGATGTCGTATTTTCGGTTCCGATTTGTTCTAACCTTTTTTACTCCGTACTCGTTCCCGAAATGCTTAGCTCTCGATATAATTAGCAACACCCCTCTTGCAGACATTTATGGATACACTCTGGGCGGAGCAGGGACCTCTTTTGTGGTAATTTTTGAAGACATCGGATACATTCGAAAAGTGTGAGCGGAAGATATCCTAATGTAGAAACCCTCAAGGAAAACATCTCAAATCAGCATCCAATATTACGGCGCATTACAAGGTACAGCTATAATTGACATATAAATGCATCTCCGTACAACATAGGTGAGGGCGATATCAATGCAAAATTATGTCAGTTCTGAATTGGACCCCACGCGGCACATCTTCTGCATGTGCGCAAAACAGGGGCCAAAACTACAATACAATGCATTTGTACACGATACGAACTTGTTGCATATCAAAACAGCGCTGAGATAAGTTATCAGAATTGATGTCATTTACCAAAGTTTTGGCCCCGATCACTGGTGATTCTCAACTTCGCCTACGGATCGACGGCACTAGTACAGCACAGGTAACCCGTTTGGACTGACATGGACCGTTCATTTCAATCTAGTGCCCGGATAAGCCGGGCTGACCTCGGCAAGTTTAGGAATTGTGAATAGTTACGATATGTCGAATGCATTTTTTCCCTACGCCCTCCAAATTGAAAAGCAACTCTAGTACGGAGCATAGATCGGAGAAGGGCACATTCATATTCGGGAGAATCAAAGCACAACCCTATCTCTGCTTCAATTCTGGCTAAACACATCCATTGTTCCGTCAATACTGCCCCCTGACTAAATACAAAATACTCGAATCCACCCATATCAACAATCGCCGGCATCGATCTCGGCTTCTGATGAAACATCAGAAAGCTTAGTCCCAGCAGCAATCTCGTCATACCAAATCGACCTAGTGCCTTGAGAGCCCTTCATCTGCTTATCATCATGCCAGCCGTTCGCATAAAGACCAACCCGGAATTGGAAAGCACGATCATCCTCAACAGTAGTGCTGATATTCTGCTCATCCAACACCTTCTCCCCATCATAGTAGAATGTGTAATGCCCCGTCCCATCCGACTCCCACTTCGCCTCGATTTCAATTCGGTGCCATTCACCAGCAGTCACGGTGGCTAGGTCGTTAAAACCATGAACCTCTTGCTTACAGACCGAGCCTTCCTTGACACGCGAGTAGAGTTTGTCGCCCTTAAGCGCGACCATGGTTGTCGGCATCCAGTCTTCGCAGCCGCTGTCTGTGAAGTCGGCAATAAACTGTGCAATGCCGTAGGACTGCACGGGGAGGAATTGCCAGTCGTCTTGCAGTCGGAAGGAGAAACCGTATGCGCCCGTGTCGCCACGCTTGTACACGTCGTTCTTCACCACTTCCGAGTGATACCGGCCGGAGTAGTCTTCGTCGTAGATTTGAGTCATTTTGAGGGCAGTTTTTCCCTCATAAGCCTCGTCTGTCACTTGCTTCACGGTGCCGCGGTGTTCTTGGTTTGTTTTGTCCCAGCCTGAGGTTGTGCCAGAGTTTTTGAAGATTAGACTTGCTTGGGCGCTCAGGCTGAGTGCCAGCAAGGCTGCGACGGATGGGATTTTGCCAAGCATGATAGGGGAAGGGACGGTAGAAAATGATACAGAGTAGGGTTGGTGGTTGTATCTTCAACTACCCGCACTCTCGTGGGTTGGGCATCTTTATACACACAAGTCCGAGCTTCAGTGCAAACTCGAGCTTCCGGCAAGGGAAAGTAAAGCACTTCTAGTTGCTCATCAATTTTATTGATGTTGTCTCATTGGACCTTGAAGAAACGAGGGCAGTTCCTCAAACGAGAAGTGAGCTACCGCATCTGAGACGAGCGATCAAGGCCGGATTCATCTACAACATACAAAGTACTCTTGATAGTCCACCGTGAATAATATGGCGACTTCATTGGGTCGATTGCTGGGATTCACAAGTAATTTGGAGGGGGTAATATACGAACCCCCTGTAGATCATTCACCAATCGCCACCTGTTGGTCGAGAGGTTCTCCGTAACCCTCCATATCGTTACATCTTGTCGACCTTTCTAGATCCAAATTCTGATAGCCATTAATCTTACTGCTATAAGCAAGTGATTCCATGGCATTCGATTGCAGACAGAGTGAACCGAGGAAGTGTCACACAAGTATAGCCTGACTGGCTAGACTATAGTTAGTTGGTTTATTTTTGTGGTTTCAATTTGCTACAGCATAGCGGTAGTGCGCTGTGTTAGTTTAAACAAGAAGTAATATAAGATGAATAAGATACACATACACAGAGGTTACTCCGTATGTTGTAACTAGATGAGATGAAATTGATAGTGTAGCCTGATGCATCCATAGGCAGAACTATTATCCTTAGGTAGAAAGTCTTCTCTTGCTTCTTGGTGTCCTTCCTCTGTTCTTTTCGATCCTAGCCATCTCTCACCCTCTTTCTTCTTTCTCACTCTATCTTTGTCTTTTGTCTTTTGTCTTTTATCAAACTTGAAATTTCGGCTTACCATCCGTGTCTTCCGCTGACAGCTCCTCCAATAACAGCTCTGGAGGCCAATATAAAATAAACCTTGGGAGCTTGGACGCGGAGTCAAATCGTTATCGAACATAAAACCAGTCCCATCCACACGTGGCGTTCAGGAAAAATCCCCGGAGAACGATGGGCCTTTGCACATTAGCCGTTATATCATAGCCGCTGTCACTATCGATCAAAGGGGACACGTGCATTTCACTTGGACGAGTTGAGTAATTGGTCTTTTGATATCCTCCTTCCGAATTGGGCCAATGCTCTAGGAATATTCAGGATATCCACAGTGGATTCTAGGCAAAGTGCAATTTACTTCCAATTTTTCACGACTTTATTGAAAGAGGGATATATCCAGCCAGCAGAAAAATTCAGGGAAGGTATACTAGGGATATTATCTTCCAGGTAAAAGCGGCCTAAAAGATGAAGACCCACTTCTATGACACTAATTAATATAATCAACTATGTAAATAGTAAGAGTAAGATACTCTAACAGTCAGCAGAGTTTGGGTATCAGACAGGATTTCTAAGAGGCGTATGTACAGATGTACATGTCTTCCAAAGATTGTCGGTCATGGGGGCAATGGGGGCGAAAATCATAGTGGCAATCGACATGCATATATGTTGTACTCCATATTTTATGCGGGGTGTATTACTCTTGTATATTATTGGCCCAGTTGGGTTATTTTCGTATCCATATTGTAACCTTGCAGGTCCTGACGGCAACTGTCAACACGAGAACAAGAGTTACATACCCTGCGCCATACCGAGTACGAGAAAACACGAAGTTCGATGCAAATAAAAATAAAAATTATAGAACTATAGAAATAGTCACTCCAGTACTATAAGACTTGGGAATCTGCCTTCAATTTACTCCGTATCTAAAAAGTTCACGACTTGCTCAATTGGGAATTTGGGGTTTGATCTTTTTTGGCCCCAGAGGATCGCTGTTTAGCTGCAGTACACTAACCCAAATAACTCACGAAATCATTATGGTCTGACTATTTGGCTTGGAAATCATTTTGAGAAGCGCCATAGTTCCTAGAGAATCTTGGATGACCACCTGCTGATTTCGGGGGCCTAAAAAGGGCGATATTAACCGGGTGCTTAATATTGTGCGAGGTTAGATCTACCTGGAATAATTCCCATTCCAAGTTTCTTTTTCGTTTCATCTTTGCGAACTCCTATACTTGCAAGAGGGAAAAAAAAAAAGAATAGGTGGTGGGTTCGTCTTTGTTGTATGCAGCCCCAACCGGAACGAACTATTGTCTACAAAGAAACCTTTACACTTTGCCTCCCCGAGTCTACATTCACCAAAACTCCAATTGACGGTAGGTTCCAATGCAACTCAGGTTGGAGTGCTTTGTTCAACATCGCGCTAACAAAGTGCAAGAACAGCCTTTTTGGGAGAACAATGCCCCGTCAATAAAAATCCAGGACAAGAGCTGAAATATGAGTTACTGGCTACTAATGGCGCCTGCTGGATCTCGTGATCCGTCCGAGAAGACCAAGTCTTCGAAACAGAAGAAAACACTTTTTCGTCCTCCATCGCTAAAGCTTCGAATGAAACCATTCGGTCTAGAAGCCCGAATCACAGCTGTCCGGGGCAGTGTTTCAGTTCCATCGAGTCTCACAGACGATGAAGAACTACCGAAACACCTACCGACAATGCCAGCGCAGATCGTGGACACCCATGACCCGTCTGGAACGATACCAGGGGCCTCTGCTAACCACATGGCAACCGACACCAAAGAGACAGAAAGCCAATCACACGAGTCGAGTCACAAAGAAGATATCGCAGTCGGGGAGGTCGGGGATATTCAGTCTTCCTCTCCGCAGAAAGTTTTGGGCACTATGATTGACTTGGAATCACCTCCTTCTGAACCTGAATCTGAAATTTCTCCATTGTCAGGCCATCTCCCTCCATTGCCTTCATCCTCCCGCTTGGCCCGCTTTTTCCCAGAGCTGTCTTCGAACTTGTCCGTTGTCTCCCCGGTCAGTGCAGATTTCAATATGGACCGCTCGATGGGGCCCTCTTTTTTCGAACGGGAACTAGAAGAACGAGTGCAGAATTTATATCAAAGCTCTGCAGATGTCGCTCCCGATGCACAAGGCCCTCCCGATGCACATGGGTCTACCGATCAACAGGAGATCACCCACTTGTCTTCTGGGTCTGAAGAGACTTTGGATTGTGCTTCATCGTGTTACAGTCGTCGCACTTCGGTGACCAGTGTTGGCACCACGTTCTGGGGAGATGATGAACGATACCCTTACAAGACAGCCGACGCATACTCCATCTTTTCCCCCGTCGCCGCGGGTGTCTTCGACGACGCCCGTTCCATCTGTTCCTCGCGGCCTTCCTCGGTAGTGGTTCCCTGCCACCTGCACGTCTCAAAGCCCGTCTTTCCAAGTCCCATCACCAAAAAGGTATCAATGAACGACCTCAAGAACAAGCCCTTGCCACTGGAACCATTCCTCGAGCCCAGCTCAGCCTCAAGTTACCGCAGCGACTCCCCCCTTTCGGTAGCTTCGTCACACGTCAAGTCACAGTGGTCAACACACTCCAAGAGAAACTCGCTGATCTCGTTGCAACACTCCTCCACGAGGAGCCAGAGCGAATTGAAGGAGTCCATGTTACACCAGTTGAATACCCGCCGACAACCCAACCATTCCTGCCGTACATGCGGACACAGTCAGCGCCAACCACAGAGCCAGCCGCAGCGTCAAGGTCGACAAGGTCGACAACGGTCAGATCTAGTGGTCGCTGGTCATCGAGCCCGTCATATCCCAACATTGTCGCAGGCCGCCGAGGAACTCGAAGATGCCCTAGCGGGTCTTGCTGGCCAAGATTTGTCTCATAAAACGCTGCTGATCCTCGACGGGCCATTGCAGATCAGTCGCCATAACGGGGACTTGATTGCTACCCGGCCGGCGCCCCTCCCCCCTTCCACGAAGCCTCACTCATACACACCGCAAGGGAAATCGACACTGAAGAACGGCAGTCGGGTCAACACGATCAAATCAGCGGGCTCAATTCCAGCCAAAGAAAAAAGTCTTAAAATTAAAAGGGAGGCGAAAGACAAGCCTCGTCGATCGGGCAAGGCTAGGGAGAAGGACTTGGAAGAAAGGGAGACCGAAGCAAGAACTCCAGCTTCAAAGCAAACCATCAAAAAAGAAAAATCCAAGAAATCCTTCCTAAGCTTTCGCAAGCAAGGCCAAGTGGTGCGCGATGCAGTTAGCGTCGGCTCACGGTCGGAGGACTCCATGCACATGACATTAGACTCGCATCCTCCCCTCGATCTGGCCCCCACGCGCAACAGCCTGCTACTTCAATTGCCTCGTCTGCAAACTAATGGTCTGCAAACTAATGATCACGGGAATCCCTTCGATCACGCTGCGGAAAAAGCAGTGTTATCGGGTAGCCCCGGCCCGGTCGCCATGGAGGACATGAAACTAGAGAAGCCCATAGCCTCCAAAATCCGTCAGAGCTGGGCTATGGTCTCGACTGCCCAGGCAAGCAGCATTCAACTCACCGAACAGATCTATGAACTTCCCGCTACTCCCCCGTCGCCTACAGCTGTGCTGCCTCCCCGAGACAAGCGCAATGTTCCAGTCAATAGCACCACCCCGATAGATATGCCAGTGGATTTGATTATGTCAATCATGCAGAACATCGACTCTCTAGATGACCTTTTCAACTTTGCCCTCGTCAACAAAAAGATCTATACCTCGTTCAAAGGTCGCGAGCTGCCCATGCTGAAGAATGCCCTGTTCAAAATGTCCCCGCCCGCTTGGGAACTGCGCGAAATGAGTCCGCCATGGGAAATGGAGTGGCAGCTCCTCGTAGATCCTGACTCCCAGGTTCCAGATTACACGCCCACGCTGTATCTGCAGAGGTACGCACAGGACATCTACACTCTTGCCAAGCTGAAGGCATTGGTCCTTGCGCGGTGCGCTCCGTTCCTGCGTCGCGATACCATCCGTGGTCTGGCGGGCGTGGATAACACCCGCGCCGAGGAAGTCGACGATGCTTTCTGGCGGCTCTGGACCTTCTGTCGGATCTTCGGCTGTGGCAAGGGGCGCGAGAATGATATTGCTGGCCAAATGGACTGGTTGAAGGGTGGTGTCCAGGCGAAGAACCATTTCACTTCGGCTTCAACGATGACACAACCTTTCGGTATCAATAATGTTCTGTTTGAACCACCGGAGGGATTCGGTCGTGGAAATCTTTCCGGTCTATCACAGAAGCAGATGTACGATCTGACGGAGATCTGGACTTGCATGGGTGTTCTGTTGCAGCCGTTGCATGGAAAGTGCATTGAAGCTCGCAAGGTCGGCATTTTTGATAGCATGAATGTTCCAGATGGTGAACTGGCCCTCGAAGAGACCGTTCTCGGTAAGTGAAACAACACAATGTCTATTTGATCACGGCTAATTCAGAAATGCAGAGGAATGGACTTCATACATTCTCACACTCGGTCTAGGCGCAGTGTTAACACTCAGCTCTGTCTGCCCGGCTGACACCGCCACCGCCACATTCACCAAAGCGAAGTCAATCGGCCTCACCAAATGGGAAGCAACCGAAATCGAAGCAAGTCGATCATCGTTCCTGAAAGAAGCAGTTTCACGTGCCTACGAGCTCCAAGAACGCGCACTTGACAGCCCGACCGAAATCAGCCCGCAAAAAGCAAGCCCCAATGAAACCGACCGCGATATCCGTGAGCGACAAGCCGGATTCGCCTACGAGCTTCGCTGCCGCCGTGAACGCGGTTTCGAGCCCGATCCCAACGGCCGGTTTTCTTTCTCTGCTGAACGCCCTATGTCGGAGTTCAGCACTATTGTCCATAATCTCAATGGGTCGATTCGAGATCACCGGCCCATTCCATCTGTTCCTGCTCTCGTCCTTGATAGATCCTCAAATTCAACTTGTGGGACGGCTCCCCATACCCCGACTCACCCGTCCGACTCTACCAGTGTTTTCCCTCCGTCGCATACTCCACTACCGCCGGCTATAGTTCCTCTACCACTACGGCCGCAAGTTCTAGATCCTGTCGACCGCGCCATTGATATGATGGTTAATGAGCTTGGCTTTAGTCCGCAAGACGCTAAGTGGGCTCTCAAGATTACGGATACTGGTGAAGGGATCGATGCTCCTGCTGCTGTGCAGCTACTTCAGCGTCAGCGGAGAAAGAACCAGCACAATCCCTCTGGCCAAGGCGATACCCTGCTGTCGGATGTTATTAAGCGTCAAAAGTCACAAGAGTCAGGCTGGCACTGGGCTTGATAGTGTTTCAATTACTTTGTTTTTTCTTTGGTTCTTTTTTAGCCTGCGTTCCGTTTCTTTCACGTCATTTATCTCATGATTTACTGAGTCGATCATTATGTGTTATATACCCTTGCTATTTATATTTGAATTTCGAGTTTTAATTGGATTTTGAATCATTCTCATAGATCACTTTTCGCGTCAACACTCCATTACATGTCTCTCTATCGAGTCTCGAACCGTGCTTATTGTCTGTTATGATCCTAATTTCTTGTTAACGTCTGCAGCATAATCAGCGAATAAATTGCAATATTTTCTATGCCAGGAAATATCTTTCCTAAATCCCAACTCAGTCTAGCCTAGTACTACACTTCTCTTGGCTTGTGCCTCGGGTCAGGATTCTGTATGATCGCTTTAACAAATATCGAACCCTCGAAGCGTGGCTGGCTATTGATCAGTATGACGAATTTTCTAGGTCTTCATATTCTATGTTGTATATGTAAATGTGCTCTCCGAATCTCAAGTTATGTATAGTCCGTGCTGTACATTGGGACGGGAATCTGGCCCCAGGGGTGAGAAGTGAGGATTGGACATCTTCACTCGGCTTTAATCTACTCATAGAAGTACACATGTAGGTGATCCTCTAGAATCCTAATAGTTGAGTTGTATTCTTTCTCAGTGTTATCCTACCAACTTTACTCTCCACAAATCTATCAAGCTCAACATTGAATCGAATACCCGATTTTGTTTCGGCAAAGAATGCAACAGCAATAATATAACTTAAAGGAACGGGGCTAATGTATATTCAGATGCAAAAAAAAAAAAAAAAAAAAAAAGCTGGAACGGAAGCATAAACTCGTCACATCGTCATATCGGCATATTTTATAGATCCGTGTATTTAATCAAACACCACTCGGCTCGTCGTCCGACTTGTCTCCATCGTCACTGTCCTCGCCCCAGCCTTCCGCTTCAAGTGAACGACCACGGATGCCGAAGCTCAGGATGAATCCAATGAAGGAGACCGCACCAAAAACTCCGAATGCCAGGGCCTCTCCTTTAGGCTGGATTTTAGCTGTGAGGGTGAACAGGCCTCCAGAGAGGAATGGGCCCACTGCACGTCCAGCTGCAGAAAGAGTCTGTGCAAGACCATTCAAAGCGCCGAGGACGGCATTATTAGGTGCCGAGTTTGTGATCTATAGAAATTGTTAGTGTTCGGTGGATCTTACAGAAAGAGTACATCAGAATTTCTTACCAGAAGCAGGGCGCTGGTCAGGCCGCCCACGGAGGCGATAGTCTTGACCAGCAACACGAGGCAAAGTTCAATAGTCATGATAGCCGACTTGCCAGTCACCTCCTCGCTAACCTTACTCTTGTACCCAATGAAGGGCATTAGGATAAACGAGACAACAAAGCCAAATAGACCTGCGCGGTACGACCATCGATTACCCATCTTGTCTCGCAGACGGTTGAAGATACAAATTTGGAAAATAATCGTCACGACGCCAGCAAACCCTTGAGCAAGGCCAATCTCGGACGGGGTGAGTGACCGTCCGGCAGGGGGCTTAGCTTGCGCAAAGATTGGAAATAGCGAGTTGAAAGAAACATTGCAAAAAGCAAAGATTAGGTATGTCAAAAGGAGTAAGATGGTATCTCGAGTAAAGATCTCATCCCAAGAGAGTTCATCGTGGCGGCCAAGGATGCTTGACACCTCAGACGCAGAGTCCAGGTCACTGTCGTGATCTTCGGTCTCTATATCAGGGTGGCCGTTGGGATATGGCACTGCTTGCGGAACCTCCACGTAGGTCGGATGGCGGGAATTGCCGGTGAACTGCCACAACCATGTGAACAGGCTGCGCACTTTTTTGCCGATCTTTGGTAGACTTTCTGCGTCTTCGAGACTCTCTTCCAGGAAAATAGCTGTCAAAACAAAGTCGACCAGAAGGATAACAGCAGACAGTACGTTTGGCGCAAGATACGGGTATGGGTTTTTGTTGCCAGTAAAAGGGTTCGTCTCAAAAATAAGGAGCCCTCCTAGGAGGGGTCCGGTTATGCCTCCAATCCCGTATAGCACCGGGAGGTAGGTGAAAGCCTGAGACTGGTTGCTTCGGTCGGTGATTTCTCCGAGACAGGTGGAGACCAAACCCTGGTTGCCATTTACCATACCCATCAACGCCTGCACAATTATAGCTTGCACAAGGGTCCTGCACAATCCGAATGCAACGAAACACAGCGCAGTCATAAATGTGCCAAGCAGTATCACCGGCTTGCGGCCAACACGATCCGATAGCCAGCCCCAGAAATAATTTGTGCTGAATTGAGCCAGCGCAAAGGCCGATGCAATGCTGCCAACGTATACACCCACCTGTGTCGGTTCTACCTCGGGGAATGTCGATGCCATGTGCGGGAGGTATGGACTGATCGAGTTCAATGCCGTTTGCTCCGCCAGTGCAATTATCGCTAGCACTGCCATTTGCCTTTTCGGCAGCGGCGATGATGTTCCGGGGAGATCAACGGTGTCATTGTGGGGATCGTGTGAGCCGTCTGCGGAGGACTCGGACTGGCCCGAGTTAGGTCGCCCACGCGACTTGGGCGGTGGGGTATCGAAGGTCTGGTAATGCTGCGTGGAGGAGCGGCGATTGAGCGAAGCCCGGTCTGGACCCATCATTCTGGCAACACACCAGCGAAATCAAGACTGAATGAAGTCTTCTCACAATTAACCATGCGATTGGGGGTGGTGCGGAAAGCTTAGTTGTAGAGGCAAATGTTGTCGTGGGAAAGCTTGTTTGTACGGTTGACGTGCACTGGTGGGATAATTGCACAGTCAATAGAATGCAGGTGTATATGTAGGTATAATTAGATGCTCGAGGGAAAAAATGTGCCGAAAAGCTTAGGATGGTTGAAGCTGACTGCAGGACCGCAACCCGGATCAGGGAACATAGTGATGATGTAAGCTTACAGATGCTGAGTCAGTTTGTTCTAGCCCCGTGGAGCACTGCAGTACCTAGAGCACCTAGCAGTAGTACGAAGTACAATTATTTTAGATATCTGCATGGCACTTGTTTTGCTTATTTTCTTATTAGCTTGAAGATGTATAGCCCTTGCATATGTCGATCTTGTGATACAATTTTTTGGGTGCGGAGGCTCAAGTCATTCCGGCTACGTAGAGTATATAGCTGGGTAGCTTGATTTCCTTCTATCATATCTGAGACTAAATTACTAATATCATAGGATAGTTGGGAGTGTCAAATACAAAAACGGCGCGACAAGTCAAGATAATACTCTATTATCAGCTATTGATAAATGATCAAAATATATAGCCAATAGTATGTACCGCTTACGTGCATAATCTTTATGGCGTCTATCTACTAATCATTGGCCCTTAATAGTCTCACTCAAGGGATGTATATACATTACTGCAGTCGATAAATATGTACTCGTACCAGATAATATCCAAATCTTGGCTTTCCTTTTTCTATGCTCACCCCCCTTGCTGCTTTTTGCTCAGTAAAACTGAGCACGCCCAGTCTAATTAAAATCCCTGTCACCTGACTACATTAATGTTCTTCCATTTGCCCAACCCTAGGTCCTAGGTTAAGCGCACTACACATGCAACATGCAACCGTGTGCATGTTTTAATTTTACATGGTTCTCAAAGGCTAGGTATGCTAAATACGGGAATGTAATCACCAGTGTACCGAAGGTCGCCAAATAAGGTCCATTAAACTTTATACACTGCGAGGTCACGATATACAGGAGCGCAGACAACCGGCCAACTCGAGCGGAATCCTCCCTATCAGCTTTCATTGGACTCCTACTGTTCTTACTGGGGTGCATCGATGGCATCGACACCGCGGTATTCGAAATACTTGCACCACTCTGGATCCTCGATCAGGGCCTGCTTCAAGCTTGTCTCATAAGAGATCGAAAATTCAGGGCCCTCATCCGATTCAGGGGACAGGTCACGCGACGGGTAGATGATGAGGACACCCTGAGTCAGGCGGTCGATGAGATGCCGGTACGCAAAGGGCTTTGCAAATCCAAAATCAGCGCTTGTAAGATTGACATCGCGATGATCTGTTTGGAGAACCGACATGGGCGGATGCGCGTCAATGCGGATGTTCAGCGCTGTCTGGTCACGCACTGTGGATACTACATCTAACATTTGGTCTAGACTCTCCTGTGTAATGCTGTTGGTCATCTGGCGGACATAAGAGGCTATCTTTGATAGTGGCCACTCGGAAATGACCTCCGCTGCTGTAGGTGCAGTGACTGGGGCAGTAGATGAGAGAACTCCGGTCACAACATTGCGCTGGATCCGTGCCGGCACCTTGGGAGTGTGCATTCGTCGCCGCATATCAACAGCTTCTATCCACAATAAGGGGGCTGATAGATCTGGCTTAAAGATTGGGGCTCGAAGCCGAGAAATAGTGCGCCATATGAAGGCGGAGAACGCGTCATATGTGGATATCCAGGGAACGTCCGTCGATGTTGGCGTCGCGAGTTTCTTTAGCTCCGCTGCCTTACTCTTAGGCAGATGGAAGAGCAGCATTTCGGCTGCGATGTGACCAGGGTGACGCTCGGGGACAGGGGGACCATCGATTTTAGAATCCTCGGGCACAATGGGCTTTGTGAGACGTGATAGATCCATACATGCAGGGTCCCATTGGGGGAAGGGTGTCTGGTTGACAGTTGCATAGCAATTTTCAGCTAGCTGGTGGGCGAGCCCGGCCCAGCCCATGACATCGTTAGAGTAGTGGTGATGATGCATAATGAAGACTAGTCCACCCCGAATGAAATTAACCTTATAGGCCGCAACCACCGGGCTACTGTCAGGGTGTGCCTCTGGCTTTTCGCCGTATGTCATCGGGGGGACACTCCAGCATTTGAGATCACCTAGTACCGAAGTGCAGAAATTGCCCTTGGCGATCTCGTCAAAGGATGGGTAGTCGTCACTGTCTTCTGGTGCATCCAGCCATTGGACTACAAATTGTACAGTGCTATCCTTCTTCTTGACAAACGAGTAGCCACCGGAAGGATCTTTCTCGATGGTACCGCAGATATGCCGAACTTGGCTCAGGGTACGTTCAAGACCAGCCTTCAGCACATCGGCGACTCGTGTTTTGTCTGCATCATCCAACCTAAAGAAGAGGGCATAGTTGTTGTAGGTACAAGCAGTCAAGTAGTCGAGGGTTGAGACTTTGAAACGCTCCTCCTCCGGATCATTTTCCCAACCCAAAGGGTGAAGATGAATAATATCTTGCTTAGGCATAGCGACAATTAGCTAACAATGATAGGCACATGTAGACATAAAAGGCGAGCGTGAGATTCCTTCGCATGCAACTCCAAGCTTTATAGGGACTTACCGTCAACGGCAAGCAACCCCACTCTTACACCAAGATTAAGGTCAACAACATAGAAAAGCCGAGACGGATGAAACACCTTGTGAAAATGCAGGGATTGTGAGACACGAGGCCTCCAAGGCTTGGACCAATCTCTTTCTTTCAACTCCAAAATTACGCGTTGGTATATTCCGCTTCATCCACACAAAGCAGGCAATCTCCGAATGACAGGATTCAAGCCACGTCACTTGGTTGCAGGGTATATACAGTGGCATTTCATGAGTATTTGCACCCCAGTACTCCGAAAGGCTCCAGGCCACCTTCCATTCTGCCTGTTAAAACTTCATTCAACCCCTTAAGTAATAAGCAGTAACTAGAAAGCTCACATACACGCTCATTGATTTATGGTAGAAACTCCAGCTTGCGGGCTATGATATAAGAGAGTACAGGGAAAGCACTAGGTGGAAGTACTGGGGTGTAAATACTCATGAAACATGACTGTATAACTTGGCACTACCCCTGTTAGTTAGTGCATCCCGCTTACTGCCGTTGTGAACCCTGTCCAGTCTTCCGAGGCAGGCACATTTATATGGGAAACTACATGGTTGGCCAAAGCTCTCTCGGATGTGCCATTGTGTTCTTGCTAAAATCATAATTCATGGACTAGGATAGAACGAGAAAATGAAAATCGCAGGGGGAAACTGAACTAGTTACGTGGTGATTTTCCTAGTTCTGGCCCCCATACAAATTATTGGACCCAACGCCACCCTATACTGTCATTGTATTTAATGGGGCCCACAATCATCCTCGGCAACCTATTTGTTTCTTCTTGTTCCTTTTTCTAACCAGTATTGTTTACAACAATAGGCATCCCTGTCTGAAACCGGCAAAATGATTACAATAGGAATTGAATCCCTGCAAGACGTTTGTCCGCGGGTTACCAATGTCCAAGTTCTCCTAAAGATACAAACCCGTTGTTATCCTGATACTCCTGAATATCACAATTTTGGTTCCAGCCAGACAAAGGCAGGGGCCCGTGTGCAACCAGTTGCTTCATTCTATATACCAGCTTGTATCTAAGAAGCCATAGGCGCCATTGTCGTCACAGATGAGTCCTACGGCTATATGCCAGGTATCATTTCCGAAGCTAGCCAATGTCGAGCCCTACTGGCGGGATTAGTAGATTATGTCCACAGCAATGGGCCATTCGCACCAAGTCCCCGGATCCAAATCAATAGAGGGATTTCTGAAGACTTTGCAGGCCATTGAAAGGACCATTGAGAGGGCTGTTGTTCTTTCTAGCTAGCACCTATATCGGTAGTGCGACATCCCGTGTTTGCGGGGCGACTCCGTTCTCCATATGTTGTACTTGATAGGAAAGTCGTCCGAATTACCGCTTACCAACTACAGCCGAGTTTCGCATTTCCAACATCTACATCGAACTCACATCAGTGCATCACTAAGAAAACCTTTCTGCACCTCGAGTATTTCTGAAATGCCGGTCGAATTCTCCAGCATGTCCGCAAGGCATTAAAGCCTGGCGGTCGACTTATATTGCTTGAAGCAATCAATCCAGAGGATGTCGCCACCAATTTCATGGCTGGCTTAGTACCTGGTTGATGGGTCGCTCGCGAAAAATGGCGGCCTCATTCACCCGCTGTATCTGAAGCCGTATGCACCCGCTACCTAGGCGAAAATGGTTTCTCTGCTCAACATCGAAGGTGAAGCCGATGGTATTGCTTGTGCAAGCGCTATCGTCAAGGTTGTTGAAAACTCTTTCGGCTCTCCACCGTCCCAGGAGCTGGAGTATGTCTTCAAGGATGGAATTTCCATGACTGGCCGAGTCATCAAAGATATGACAGGAAATAAAGCAATACAGCCTCTTTTTTTGCCGCAGCTGGCACACGTGCCCTGGGCCAAAATAGGGGCTTGAGGATTTCACTGGATATTGAAATACCCCAAAAGAATACAATATTTGTTGAGAACAACGTTCACAAAACTCCTCTTGGCCCTCACGATGTCGAAATCCACGCACATACTTGGAGTTTCATGGAAGGGGACATCCGCAACGCTATCGATCGAAGAGATGATAACCTGTTTGGAGTAAACTGTGGTGGTGTGGTAACCTGAGTTGGCAGCGAATGCAACGATTCCTTCCAGATAGGCGATCGTGTTTGTATATCAGATCTCGATTTCATGCGCAAGTATCCTTGCTCCCACAACACCAACTTCGTCAAAATTCCCGAAAGGCTGTCCATCGAAGCAGCCACATCGGTTTTTCACCCGGCCATCCTTGCCTACCATGCTCTAGTCGACATCGTACGACTTGATGAACAATACAAAATCCTCATTCATTTGGCTACCAGCTCCTTAGGCCATATTACAGTTCAAATAGCGCAGAAACAAAAGGCTCGTGTCTCTACGATCACAGGATCATCGGAAGAAACGCGTTTCCTGGTGGAGGCGCTGAGCATACCAGTCGTAGCCGTGTTTTGTCTATTGCCCGTATTGCCGATGTGGTGGTTGCAAAGAGCACAGTCAACGGCAATTGAAGAGGTGACCGAACCATGTAGAGTTGCATCCCAGTTTCGATGGGCTTATTTTTTAAAAAAAAAAAAAAATATATGAAAAAAAATTTATATTTTCCGGCAAACATCATCCGAACTATATAGCCACATATATCGCTGACAACTTACCCATATTACAAACCATCACGACTCGAAACATAATTATCCTTGTTTTACAATGTATTGCGTATAGCACCACAGCATAGCTACCGCCCACGAGCGTTTAGATGAAATATAAGAACGTAAAGCAAACGGGCAAAGAGCAATCCCTCAATTCAGCCTGCTTGGCTGCAGGATAATACATAAATAGTCAACTAGCTTTCTAGGCATATCCTTCCTTCTCCACCAATAAGATTCTCGGTAGACATCGCACTGGCCTCACATCCGTTGGCTGGTCATTATAACTTGGCACCGTCTCACTCGTCATCACGATCATTTATACTATTTATACTATTCACAAATGTACCCCGATGCCCACACATCCATATTAGCATTTAACCGTGTATTTTCAAGTTTGAGAGACCTTTTAGAAAACAAAACAATGACACCCGGATAGAAAAACACAGTATCAAAAATTGATAGAAATGCAATGCTTACATTTTTGGTTATAATACCAAATATGGCAGCTCTTTCCATCAACCATTCCAATGGCCGAGCAGTAACTCAGCCACATCTTCCTTGGTCTAGTGGTGATGATTTCCGCTTGTCATTAATACCGATAAGCGCGGGAGACCGGGGTTCGATTCCCCGAGGGAGAGATATCTTTTTGCACTTGTAGGGTCCAGCTCGGTCCTCATATTTTCTTAATATTTTTAGCGTATCACTTTCGGTTGACTTAACATACCCCGATATTGCTCAAAATTATCTGATACCTATGGTTGTAGAGAACGGCCGCCGAATACGACATGAAGATTCTGATGTGAACATTTTAAGTGGAGCCTTGCCCTAAAATGCTCCGCTGCCCCATATATCCAAACTGGACCTGATATTTCAACAAGGCCGGCTGGCCCAATGGCAAGGCGCTTGACTACGAATCAAGAGATTGCAGGTTCGATCCCTGCGTCGGTCAATCTTTTTGTCTCCCAGGCTTTCTATCTTTTTGCTCTGTTGTCGATGTGGTTAAAATGGTAGTAAAGTGAGTGTGGTTGAGTGGCGATTCTAGCTTTTGGGTTGCTGTTACTGTAAGAACCGAATTTCGAATAATAGGTCATTTTAATTGTGTTTAGAGATATGTGAAATGCAGGAATAGATAGGATTAAGATCACCATACAGAATAGAATGATGATGCTGGATTGGCATGAAGAGACTGCATATGTACCGGATAATGCCTGGCACTCGAGACCTTTCCCTTTCTATTTTCGTGCTCACCTCTTGTCGCTTTTTGATCTCTATGTAAGATCGAGTCTCTGATTAGGAAAGTGTATGCATTTTTACTACAAATATACGTGGTGACTCCCTTGAATGATGTGCAGATCCAACATCGAAGTAGGCTCGAGATATCTCACCTTTTCTTGAATCCAATACCGGCATTCTCACACGAAGGGCGGTGAACATGGGGATTAAAGGCGACTTCGTGATTAAGATTGACCCAGACCTAGCCAAATACTAATACAGAAGTGTAAAGCGTATATTCGTGCGGAAAATTGGCCCCATAGCGCGATCGATATCCAGCAGACTAGCGAGATCGGTCGTACCGTCCCCTCTAATAACAGCGCACCCAGAGCCTCTTAACCCTTCCCAGTCCCGAAGATGTCGTTCGATGGTCTCCCATGGCAGAGGCATTAAAGGTCTCGCACATTCTCTAATGCGCATCGAGAATTACGGGACTTAGAATCTCATGCTCTGTGTTTAGTTAAAATCGGACATGCTGATCGGAGGGAATGGCGGGGATGTCAGCCGGGGGATAGCGCTTATAAGTCTTCACCTCGTCCTCATTTTCGATGTCCTGATAAGAAGAGTGAGCATAAATGATTTTATGGTAGATCATTTCCTGCTTACGGTAGGCTTTAAGGTAATTATGAATTTACTAAACTAGGTATACACCGAGTCTCGAAGAGTGATGCTATTAGGAAGAGTGCTGATATCCTTCACCGAAAGTATTTCGTGTAGCGCAGGGAAACACTTATATAGTAAAGCCTAGGTGCTTAATATATCTCTTAGCGCTCTAGACACCCCGGGCTAAGAGGGAAACGTAAAAGGTATTATATAAGCCCCCTCAGTCGGGCCATGGAAAACGTTTCCTGGTTCCCCTTCGTGCTCCCATTGATCGGTGTTTAGTTATCCTGTTATCACACAGCGATAGTTGCCCCGTAGTTAGAGCTACGCCGCGAACGAAGGGTCACGGCTTTCCGGTTAATCGAGGGTGGAGGTAACTATATCGTCGTGCTCCTGGGGCCTTGAAGGACTTTCCATAACAGAGGGTGATCATAATCGGGATTTCACTATTTAACAATGTTAAGCAAAGTCAATGGATAACTTTGAACGGAACGTGCTTACTCGGTGCAGTAAGTCCGGTGAAAAGGTTAAAAAAAGCATTGTACAGCTCTCGGTCGGAGCTTGTCTCAATAACATCCCTCGCGAGTGAGGTTCTGCCGGGCTCTGGTAGCCAGTGTAGTAAACATAGTACCTATAGTAGCTACAAAATAAACTACAGTACCTGATAAGTAGAATTGACCATAAGAAGATTCTAAAATAAAATCTTTAGAATAGAATCCTGTCATGAAAGGTACAGCTACTAAACTTAATGAAGCTATTAACATAACTGAATATGTTAAAGGTAAGAACTCTCTTAAACCACCATATTTTCTAAAATCTTGATTATCAGCTACTGCGTGTATAACTGATCCAGCACCTAAGAATAATAATGCTTTATAAAAAGCGTGATTAACTAAGTGGAATAAAGCTAAAGTGACAAATGCATTCAAGCCAATTTTCAACAGCGTCTCATCGCGAAGAGACTGGTTTTCATAAGCCTGGATCTTAACCCGGGCGTCTTTCTCCAAGCTGGTCAGTGTCCGCAGTGTCTGTGGAGAGTGTTGACAGTCCGCGGGGTGCTGTAGGCGGGGATGCCCTTGCTAATCTTATAGCTCGTTGGGCACGCAGCGTATTGGAAGGTGAAGCTGATCGATTTCTCTTTGCCATGGAACGGCGCGTATTGCATATAATTGATAGACGCCAAGTGAAGGAAGATCTGCAGAATGTGGGTCTTGGTGATTGGGTGGTTCGTGCGTCGAACTCTCGGCCCTTTTCTTGTGCTCGAACTGACTTCAAAGCTGGGAATTCCTTCTTGATCCTGGAAATAAGGTCAATTTCATGCTCAGATTGCCTTCTCTCAATACCAAACTTGCGATGTGATTTGCTTCCGGGTTTGAAATTCACGCCGGAAGTCAAAGGTCTAAGAATTTCGGAGTATTTGACTGGGATTTCTCCGCGCCCATATCTACCAATTCACTGGCTTTCAACTCCTAAGAACAGTCGTGAGCACAGCTTCCGCGCACACTAAGTTCACAATCTTGCTTTAGGGTCCAGATGCTAGTGATCGCTCTTTCCTTTGCAAGCAGTTTCTTTCTCGTAGACAACGGCCTCTCCTTTGCGATCTCATCACGCTTAGCAGAAAAGTCTTTTCTGTCCATGATCAAGTGCAATACCACAATGAGGCAGGTATCAAGGGCAAATGAACTAGGTATTAGGTCAACATATTAAGAAAAGGGCGCCGAAAGAGGCGGGTGAATGATTACCATGCTAGGGCTAGGACAAAGTTTGCTTCTACATTTGAGATTTCGAGCTCGAGCCACAATGAGAATTCAGAAGGAGCCCTTGACGATGAAACAGAGGAAGCGCTCCACTTTCTCCTGCGCTCCATGAACATGACGTACCTTGATGAGATGGGGAGGGCCCAAAAAAGAGGGTGAGTGCGATGCTATCTACGAAAACATCAGTGTAAACGACCATATGGGGCTATTCCATTTAAGGCATATTCCGGGGTAGTCTGAGTGACCGGAGTTGCTCACTGATTGGACACAGAATGTCACCGAGTAAGCTTACACACTAGGCACAATGTCTCCCGACGCATATGCTAGTCATTGCATTTAGTGGCATTGAAATAGAGGATTTGTAGAAGCATAGGCTAGTGGAGAACATCGAAGACTGCTCCGCCAAGCTCAAGTAAGGCGCTGCCAACTCGTTCATTCGCTGGAATACAAGCAAAGAGGAGTCATAAGACATCTCATCCAGGGACCTTTGAAGAGAAGCAAGTATTATATCACTAGCCATAGTCATAGCTCGATCAATATTATCGAGCCACGGTCCTATGGCGATAACGTACCCCTATAGACCGAAATGAAAGCATGACGCTCGCTCTTCTAGTTCATTGATCTCGCCATAAGCGTCTTTTCCACGCTATTCTAATAGAGTAGATTGATAAGGGCAGTGTTTAAACTCTATAGACTAGATCCTACGCGGAGTTCGAATTCCCGTGGATAATTTGACGTGATAGCCGCTCTGAGGACAAACGAAAAACCACTTTCAATAGCTGTATGCCGCACAGCAGGTTCCTCCTCGGCTACCTGGTGAACGAGTCGCTGCTAGAAGATATTGACCATATACCCGGTGCATTTTCTAGAAGACATTACCACGTTTATATAGTGGCATATATATATAGGAATAGTGTAGCACTGTGGAGGAACTCGGAGCCATCGATATGTCAGTATGAGACATGTAGCCGATAAATGCGAACCTAAGAGACCGGGAGCCCGGCAGCTATCTATGTCAGTGGTGATAATGCAGGAGGTTCCAGGCCAAACACGTCCCTGGCCAAGAATATGAAGGATTCGTTTGTGCTGAATTGGTGCCGGCAATGGTATGCGTGACTAGATAATGGGGTTCCATATTTTATAAGGAATCCATTACATGAGACTATAGCAACCTGACTGCAAAACAAAGTAGCAAGCAAAGGATTCATATGAAATGTACACAGCTAAAAAAATATCAAACTAGGATATTAAGTCGTTCCTACTTCATCAGCAGACTAACAGCCCAGGGAACACTGAGCCCTCGGAGATCTCCATAATGTTGTCCAACACCTAGGAACACAATGGGAATTCCCGTGGCATGGACCATGCTGACCAGTGTTCCCACCATGTCACCGACGGTGTCACATTTACTGATAATGAAGCCATCCAAGTTCCTGCCGGTGCCAAATGCCTGGTTGAAGTTGCGGGCCTGCATGACACTGTCCGTGCCGACCAGGGCCTCACCAACCATGAAAATCTTGTCTGGGTTAGCAAACTTGGCAAACTTCTCAAGCGAGGACATCAGCCGCTGGTCGTTATGCCGACGGCCGGCAGTGTCGATCAGGACGACATCAAACTTATTGGCTGCTGCGTAGTCAACTGCATCCTTGGCCACGTTGGCCGCGTCCTTGCCGTAACCCTTCTGGTAGATCTCCACGTCGCCTGCATTCTCACGGACACTCAGTTCCTTCAAACGGTCAGCGTGCACGCGGAGTTGCTCCACAGCACCGGAACGGAACGTATCACATGCTGCAATAAGAACACGATACTTGTTTTGGAGCAAGAAGTAGCAGATCTTGCTCAGATTGGTCGACTTGCCAACACCGTTGACACCAACGATAGACATGACGTATGGGCGGGGCGCCTGCTGCTTGGTGGTGGGAGCGACTACAGCGTTGATCTCGCGCAGCAAATCCAAAGAAGAAGTCGGCGTCAGGATCTTCCTCAGCGAGGATTCCATGGCCACATGTAATGCGGCATCAGTGCTCTGGAAGTTGCCAGTCTTCTTGCCAATCATTTCACGCTTAACTCCCTCGCAGAGCCGGACAGCAGCTTCGCGGGCGACGTTCTTCTTCAAAAGGTGTTCTTCCATCGCCTTGAGAGGCTTCTCGAGATCAGATTCTGTCAGAACCTTTCCTCCAACAATGTTACGGAAGAAACCGCCAATTGCGTTGAACCCAGAGCCAACGACACCCGACGAAGCAGTGCCCTTGGACTTTTCCGCGTCAGCTTGGTCCAAAATGGATTGAACTTCCTCGCCTAACTCCTTTAACACGAATTGGCCCTTGCCAGTTCGGCGACCCCAGTCCTCCTCGGAGACAGCCTCCACCGCTGGAGCGGCAGACTCTCCTTCCTCCGCGGGCGCAGAATAATCGAGGATCTCTCCGTCATCCTCATCTGCCATCCCACTGGCATCCCATCTGCGCATCTTCTTCACAGGGGCCTTGGCAGGCTTTCCCTTCCGGGCTTCATCACCAGACGATGCGTTGGCGCTTGAATTGGCAGCCTTGCGAGATCGTCGGGACCCACGACCTCCAGGTCCGGCTTTCGCTGTAAGAAGATGACCCTGAGGGGTCGAAGATCTAGAAATTTCTGGTGTAGCTGGTGGTGTACCCTCGTCAGAGGTCGCCCCGGCTAGCGCAGCTCTAGGCTGCGCTTTGGGATGGTCAGCATGCGCTTGAAACTGGGAGTGTGGTCATTCCATACCTTTCACCAGGCCAGGCACCGGTGGCGGTGGTGGGCCTCCATTGTCCGACGAAACAAGCGGGTCTTTCTTTTCGCCTGTCTCTGGCACATGTTCCTCTACAAAACCACCAGTGTTGTCTTCAAGTTCCCGAACTTGCTGTTCAAAGTATTGATCGAACCGATAGGTCTGGATTCTTGCGCGGTCCCCTTTCACCTGGTCCTTGTAGAGATCGATGAAGATTGTTGAAATGTTCTCAAGAAGTTTGTCGATCCAGCCAAGGTGGAGTAGCGATTGGTAGACGGCCTGCATAGACTCAGAGTTAGTTGAAGCAGCGACGCGCATGCGCATGCGACAGACGTACCACGAAGATTAAATCGAATTCCTTCACTCTCTTCCATTTCAGTGTGTATTTCTCCTTCTTGTATGCCGGTGAGACTCCACTAGCTGTCGCATTCTGTGGCACGACCTTCTCTTCGATAAAAACATCGTTGATCAGGCTGTTGATAACATGTGCGCCCACTGGAGCATATGCCTTAGACCAGAGCACCACGCCCGAGGTCGTCAAAATCTCAAAAGCTTCTAACATTCTGATTATCTCCGAGAATCGATTGTCAAATGTGAGAAGCAGATAACCAATGTGAGAGGGGGAAAAAAGGTCCGGTGTGACTTGTTGGTGGCGGAACGGGGCGAAGTTGGGGGGAGCTCGGAAGCGGATTGGACTTCAGCCACGTACAAACACTTTCCTCCGCTATCAACCTCGCTTCTTCCCCAAACCCCCGTCAGACGATCAGGACGACACGTTCGCCACCAAAATTTCACTCTCCCTATCCTTCTATCTTTCTTTCCCTATTTAGGTGCATTATGTATCGGGGCTCTTTCGCTCCGCCGCCCGCGCAATCGCCGCCCCTTCACCACCCCGTCCCGCAACATGTCTCGACTGTCCCTATGATGCGCTCACCTCCACCACCAGCTCCCCAACAACCCCCAAGTGCTGGATATGGTGGTAATCCATACCAGCCATCACCCGTTCAGGGTGGCAGTGGAAGCTATGCCCCTGGTGCTCCTGGATTCGGTGGGTTCATGAACGAACCCACGGCGCAGATGGGCTTCCAGGTCGGCAAAAGCGCAATGGCGGCTGGGCAGGAATATATGGAAAGCAACGTATGCACCATTGGCAGATTTATATTTCCCACTTATAGCTAACCTAGAGATATTCTACAGTTCAACCGCTATGTGTCTATACCTGCTCTTAAGCACTACTTCAACGTCTCCAACTCCTACGTCCTGAAAAAGCTGGTCCTTGTCCTCTTCCCCTGGCGACACAAACCCTGGTCTCGACAGCAAGCTCGGATGGCCCCGACCCCTGGACCAAGTGGTCAAATCATGCAGCAACAATACTCGTCCATGTTCTTGCCTCCTCGCGACGACCTGAATTCGCCAGACATGTACATTCCCGTCATGGCCCTAGTCACATATATTTTGCTCTCAGTGTTACTGGCTGGGTTCCGGGGTGATTTCCACCCAGAGCTTCTGGGCTCGATCACCACCACGGCCATTGCAGTGATCGCCTTCGAGATTCTATGCTTGAAGCTAGCGACGTACATTTTGAGCATCAACAATGACTCGCAGCTGCTAGATCTGGTGGCATACTCGGGCTACAAGTTTGTTGGAATCATTGTCACTATGGTGGCGTCTGAGATATTCAACCCCGGACAAGGGACTAGAGGCTGGGTTGGCTGGACGGTGTTTGCGTACACGTTTTTGGCCAATGCGTTCTTCCTAGTAAGTGACGGGTTTTATCTAGCGTCCAGTGCATTCCACAGTTGCTAATATTTGAACTGTAGCTTCGCTCGCTGAAATATGTGTTGCTCCCCGATTCCACTGACTCCGCCATGCATGCTGGTTCGATGCAGGCTGTGGCTCGGTCCCAGCGCAACCGACGCGGTCAGTTCTTGTTCGTATACTCCTACGCGGTTCAGTTCATCTTCATGTGGGTGCTTAGCCGTGAGGGCCCATCCTCTGCGGCATCTACGGGCTCTGCGTCGTCATAATCTGGTACGCAGAAGGGACAAGGAAGCATTTGCTCTTTGCTATTTGGGAGAGATAGACTAGGTTGGTAGGAAGGTATAGCATGAAGGGACAAGTGGCTTGCTCTGGGTCTTTGGGCATTGCACGGCCGAGGTAACGATATAGCACGACTTATTGTAATCAAAAATTATTTGCATTTGTACCAAGTGTCTGTAGATCAGATATAATGTAGGTGGGCCTCATCATGATTTTACTTCGGAAAATACGCAAGTTACGAGTCTAAGCTACTGAAGGAGAACTTGGGGGTTGGCAAAATATAAATTGCATTTCAATAGCTATGCTATATAAGACGAGCTATCACAGATGACCCTATATTCTTTTGAAGGTTAGCGACAGGTCACAACCAGTATAACAAGAAATCATGTGCAAGGTGATAAGGTTCTCAGAGATCTTGGTAGTTAGGTAATTTCATAGCGAGAAGCTCAATTACTATCTAGGCGTGATAAAAGTTTCTAATCATCGGACCTGGGGGTGTTGCAGAAGATTGTGAAGGATGTGTGAACATACCCTGTGAAAGATCAAAAGGGGCAAATGTTGCCGAGAGGTCCAGTCTTTTTTTTTTGAGTATTGAGTAATGTCCTAAAGTCTTCGAACAGGTCAGCGCGATGTCTCTCAAATGTATTGACAGAATATAGCATGAAGGTTATAATCCATATCAGAATATGTAAGAAAATTGAATATCATCCGACAGTGCTGTATAGAGTGCCCCGGCGAGGGCCTCACAGACACTGGGTCAATCGCAAATTACGGCATCATATGAGGAATGAGGGGAAGTCGGGGGAGAAAAAAAAAGGGAATATGAGCATACCTTAGTAAATGCTACATTTGAGCAATTGGCGAAACTGAGAGAGAAGCAAGACTCATCATTAAAGACTTGAGCTTCTAAAGCTGAATAGCTTGAAGGGATTAAGTCAATTTGCAGCCAAAAAAAACGAGATAAAATGCACGGGCGCGGATAAAGGTTAATGCGGATGCTGAGATAAGCAGAGCCCTAGACCTGCAAGTGGCCGGTTAAGCGAGAATGTTGCGAGTGTGGGCACATCCGAATTTCGAGACAACTCTTGGACAATTGAACTCTTTCGACAACCCCTTCTCGACTCATACCCCCTGTCGACCGTGAGTGTGCTATCTCCAAATATTACAGACCCGCGACGCTGAATTTTTCATTTCGCAGAATTTCGCCATGGCCGATATCGATGTCAAGGTCGCTTCATGGAAGCTGGTTGAGGTTGGCCGCCTAGTGCTGATCCGCAGCGGCCCCTTCGAAGGCAAGCTCGCTGCCATCGTTGAGATCGTGGACCACCGCCGTGTATGTGGAATCGCCCTTTGAAATCCGGAAATCGTTACGAATTTGGAGAATCGGATTTTCGGAGATATTTTGAGTTGGAAATTGTGTATTGACTTGCGATTTTCTTCAGGTCCTGGTCGACGGTCCCTCCACTGAGGAGCAGAAGATCGTGCCCCGTCACGTTCTCCCTCTCGCCCACGCCACTCTCACCCACTTCACCATTCCCCAGCTCCCCCGTGCTGCCGGTACCGGTCCCGTCAAGAAGCTCTGGGCTAAGAACGAGATTGATGGCAAGTGGGCCAAGAGCTCCTTCGCTCAGCGTACCGACCGCACCGAGCGCCGCAAGAACCTGTCCGACTTCGAGCGCTTCAAGGTTCTGCGCCTCCGCAAGCAGGTACGTGGAAATATTGAATGGGGGATGGTTCTGGCACATGATGTGCCTGGGGCCCACCCGATCGGATAATATGGGGTATCACGAACAGTTCAACTAACATACTCCAGGCTCGCTACGAGGTCCAGAAGTCCCACGCCAAGGCTCGCGCTGCCAACAAGTCATAGATGATTACGAGGTTTCGGTGCATGGGTTTGAAGGAGGTGTCCTGGAAGGGTTTCCATTGCTGGTAATACTCTGGCAAAATCGCTGTATGCATTATCAATCAACAGCAAAAATGATTCAAAATCCTTGATATCCCGGCAAAGGGGCCTTTTTGTTATTTGGTTTTCCTCTGGCTCTGGACTCATTTTATATCCCCCAATTTACGGGAAATATCTGGCTCTACAAAAAGAATAGAACGAGCAGATGCGTAAATACATATGTAATGATCTGGAAACTGTATTATATATATATATTTATTATGATCTAGATGAGATCTATAAATTATTAGCCAATCTAGTTTAGAATTGGTGATGTAGTTCCATATAGGGCAATGTGTGCAGGGCGGGCAGTCTGGGGTCTCGCTAATGATTTTCGGGTTCGGTCTGGCGCACAGCTACGCACCTTCAACTTCAACAAAATCCATCCCCATTCACAACAGCTTGATATTTACCTTTCAGGTATGTATGACTATTTACTCGACTGAATGCTCGCCTTTTCAACATCAAATTCCGCCCTTTCCCGAGTGTTGTGCGATTCGTGGGGGGGTTGACCAATCTCCAATCTCTCCCACCATGCCCGCTCTCACATCATTCAACCAGCCTTAACACCATTGCGAACGAAACAACCCAACTAATCAACTCTTTTTTCGCATTCTTCTTAGGCCCCTTTACATCGCAAAAATGGCTGATCCCCGCGTTGAAGAAATCCACGATGACGAGGTCTCCAAGACCGTCGAGGAGAGCTCCTCTGAGTCTGGCTCCGAGGCTGGCGATGAGCCCAACATTCCCGCCGGTGCCTCCGTCGCTGTCCACTCCCGTGGTGAGAAGAAGGCCCGCAAGGCCATTGGCAAGCTCGGCTTGAAGCTCGTCCCTGGCATCACCCGTGTCACTCTCCGCCGCCCCAAGAACGTATGTGAATCCCGATGCGACCGTCATGAGAATTTCTACCCCGCCAGGTACAATGTGCTTGCGACCATCAACTGCAGCATGGGCTACCAATGGAACGGAATATCTTGATCATTCTCAATGCGGAGATGCTAATTATTGGAATTAAAGATCCTCTTCGTTGTCAACCAGCCCGAGGTTTACCGTTCCCCCAACAGCAACTGCTGGATGTATGTGGAACCCAATTGGAGTCAATTCTCCATGTGTGAACGACATTTACTGATACACTTTTAGCATCTTCGGTGAGGCCAAGATTGAGGACCTGAACTCTCAGGCCCAGGCTTCCGCCGCTCAGCAGCTCGCTGCCTCCGAGGCCGCTGGCGACCACGCCGGTCACGACCACGAGGAGATTCTCGGCAAGGCCAAGGCCCCCGAGACCGAGGATAAGAAGGAGGATGAGGAGGATGATGGTGAGGAGGTTGATGAGTCCAACCTTGAGTCCAAGGATATCGAGCTCGTCATGGCACAAGCAAACGTCTCCCGCAAGAAGGCCGTCAAGGCTCTCCGGGAGAACGACAACGATATCGTTAACTCCATCATGGCCCTCAGCATATAACGAGTGACCGCATTTAAGGTTCTATGAGGGACTTGGGTTATGATGCCAGGTAGAAGATGCCTGGTATGTTGTCGCCCATAGTGTACACAATTTAGCCCAAAAAACAATTGAACCCATGATTGAGTCAACCAATCATTCTACATACTTTGTAATTATAAAAAAATAAACCTGTCCCGAAGTTATGTACAATGATGAACACGATCTCTCTATAATTTGCGTTTTGCTTGTATAATACACGGTGGATTTCGGAATTCGCATCACGTGACCCGAACAATCCAAACCTTCCGGGTCGCTCCTCGTTCGGCACCTCCCTGCACATTGAACTCCCCTCTCTTTCCCCCACCCCCAACCTCTATCATACCCGTCACAATGGCTGCTGTATGTTCTGCTCCTACTCTTCGACATGACAGACCCTTGTCAACCTATCCGGATGACTCCCGCTAACTCCCTTCACCCGAAAACAGCGCAGCGCCGCTCTCAAGATCGACTGGGCCCAGGTGTCGACCTCCCTCGGCCTCCGCGGCCAGACCGCCGTCTCCCTCCAAGCTTTCAAGAAGCGCAACGACGAGGCTCGCCGCAAGGTTCAGGTCCTGTCCGAGCAGCCCCAGACCGTTGACTTCAGCCACTACCGCGGCATCCTGAAGAACAAGGCCATCGTTGACGAGCTCGAGAACCACTTCAAGACCTTCAAGCCCGCTACCTACGATGTCAACCGCCAGCTGAAGGCCATTGACGCCTTCGAGTCCCAGGCTGTTCAGAACGCCGAGGCTACCAAGGGTAAGGTTGAGGCCGAGCTGCAAAACTTGCAGAAGACCCTGCAGAACATCGAGACTGCCCGTCCCTTCGAGGACCTCACTGTCGTACGTATTATCCACTGCAGACCGCAGAGTTGGGGTCATTACTTACGTGACTGTTTTTTTAGGACGAGGTTGCCGCCGCCCAGCCCGAGATCGACGAGAAGACCGCTTCCCTCGTCTCCAAGGGCAAGTGGATGCCCCCTGGCTACAAGGTATGTGTTGCCTGTCTCGCTGAGAGCAATGTGTCTGTTTTGATACTTATACCATTCCCTTTTGTAGGAGCGCTTCGGCGATCTGTCCGCCGTTTAAGCGTGGACTCTTGTGGCCTCAAATCCGCATTTTTATTCCTCGCTCCATCACACTACGTGATCATGACTTTTGGAGCCAAGAAGATGGCCATTCAGCCAGTGTGTGGTCAGATACCTCCGATAGTGTGGTGGGACAGTTGGGATGTGTATAGAAACAATACATTTGTCGTTTCTGCGTTCATTAATGGATTCTACCGTAAAGCCGTACGTTTGTAATTATATTGATATTCCAAAATAATCGGTAGCTGGGCGAGAAATAGGCCACAGCTAGAAAAATAGGCCTAACAAACATTTGATATGTCCGATATATATATCTCAGCAAGCTCGCTCCATGTGGATCGAATTGGGATATGTAGCGGAGTATCTCGCGAAAATCGGATATTTTTGGAACACCGACAGATACTAAGCGGTAATATACATATTTCAGTTCAGATGTAATACATGTAGACCGTCAAGCCACATATATATTCTTGAGGAGCTCTCAAACTGGCTTTGCCAAGACATGCAACTCACCTCAGTTTATCCACTTCCCCTACCCCTCAGTAATGGGCCGGGGTTTTTCCTTTTAATTCTTTTCATTGGAGATTGCGCTGTAAGCACTGTCAAGTGCCTTTTTCTACAGGCCACGAGGAGCTACGGGGACAGCATTATGCGAAGTCTGCATTCAATATCGTGTGGGCTGTGCTTCCATTGAGATAAACTATACTCGTCTCTGCTCTTTCTCCTCCCTGGCCCTTTACAAATATAAGCACACTGTGTGATTTGCAAGTGAACATTGTCTTGCTGCAAGAAAGCTATATAAGAACACGTCACCTCTAGAGACACTGTTGCAAATGGGCCCAGGTCCCTCCGATCCGTTGGCCGACCCCCGTGCTCGCGCCTTGAGTCATTGCCCGTGGAAATATTACAGTTGATCTTTCTTCACAGCCTTGAAGTGAACCTCCCTCGTGCTTCACCACGTCTCAGCCAAGCACTGTCAACTCCATTGCTCTATACTTGGCTCATTCGGCTGGCATTCAGCAGTCCCAATTCAGGCTCGCGAGAGGGCTTCTTTACCCCGGATTTCCTACCCCCACCTTTGGACTTCTGGGCATTGTCTTGGAAAGACCGCCAGCAATTACAGACTACCCTACTGGCATGTCGATGGTGCACATTTCCCCTGTTCCGGAAATGTCAGCGTGAGTACGTTGCCCATGCCATTCGGCGCAAATGTGTCGGCCTGGTCTTCCATCCGGACGACCAAGTAGTGTTGTCAAATTTGGACCCACGCTTCGAGAACTTAGAAGCCTGTGACTGGGCCGTACTCGGCCGGCGTGGGAAAGGCGATCTGATCATCCCCGCACAGTTGGAGAAAGCCTCGCGCCACACTGTTGACCGCAAAGTGGCAATATGGTTCCATTTTGGAGCTGTCCAAATCCGTAAACCAACCGAGATATACCATGAGAGCGACCTCTTCCGGCTGCCATGCTCAGTAGCTATTGGACCTGGCCGCATTCCGGATAAGGTCTTGCGCTCACCTTGGTCAGATGCACAATTTGAGTTCTTGCAGCTCCTCTCTTCGGACTTCTACCTGGATGAGGATGAGGCCAGGCCATATCGCTCTTCTGAGATCACATATCGTCTCATTCGAACGCGCAAGATCGAACCTTTTCGTCGCTTGCTGAATATGTCGTTTCGAGCTGAAAATTGTCGTGTCCTCGCTCGCTGGCCGCTACAGCATTCGCATTATTCCCTCGTCCGGCGCTATGGGAGTGGACCTGGGGATCCGTTTGCAAATGTTATTCTGAATGAGCGTTGGGATGATATGCCTGCAGATGCAAAGCAGGATTTGCTGCGGTATGTTGAGTCGTCCTCGCGGAAAGATAAGCGTTGACGTACTTGTTTCTTAAACACGATTAAACTCAGCAGAGGATATAATCATTCATACACCTCCAACTTCATGTCCATACCTCAAACACTTACCATGTGTACACTCTTCTACAATTTATGCCTATCATCTATAGAAGAAAAGCAATATACATCATGTAAAATTTCATGTCCCAAGATTTGATTCATGATTCACAATTAAAAACTGCGCCTCGGGGTATGTACTCCAAGCAGATATAATGACAAAAGAAATTCGCGCCGGCATAACAATCGTAGAACCCGTGACCTGCCCCTTCTATTCTCATGCATTCAATAGTTGTTTCCCGTTAGACTGCTGATCGACGACCGCGCTTGCGTTTTCCACAGTAACCGCAGGTCAGACAGGAGATGATAACATCGATCACTGTAACCACACCGCTGATGATGGCGTGGCAGACGGAGCCGATGGCGTTGACAATGGCCATGAGGCAGCTACCGATGGCGCGGAAGACGCTTTGGATCTAGAGGTAGGTATGTTAGTTGAGTTTCCTTAAGAGAGCATATGGGGGGTTCACATACGCAAGAGACGACGGCGCCCATATTGAAGATGAGGAGCTTTTCTTGGGTTGGTTTTGTATCAAGGTGTTTGTTTATTTCGGTTTGGTGAGAGTAGACTCCGAGCTGGAGGAAGCGTGTGTATGGATAGTTGGATCACTGAAAGGGTGCATATTGAAGATAGTCAAGTAGATGGAGAGCTTTAAATAAAGAATAGTGGAAGATCGTCTTAGACAAGGACGGAAATTTCTTGCTCAGATACGTAAGTGGTGTCCGAAAGAGGCGATTGATAGACAAGTTCGTGTAGTGAAGCTTATCTTGCGAGGCGTCAGAAATCACAAGGTGCAGACGCCAATGACGTCGTTGTAGCTATGACAGAATTTCCAAGATTTGATGAAGAAGAGGGAACCAGCGAATTTTGGAATGGAGCCCCATGCCTTAATACACAAGGTACCAGGGGTGTTGTCCGACCATTTCGTCATTTCGACCAGGCCCATTCCTTGATTTCATCAAAGCATAGAATCTAAGTTTACATCGTGGGATTTTGATGGGGCAATTGGATTTTAAATGAGTCTAGTATGTAAGAATATTTTCAGTTTTCCAAATTTATCTTGAACTCGTGGACCCTTGTGATATTCTACTTTTTGTTCTCCCCAAGAGCTTTTTTTTTACTGATCCTTGACGTCATTTGATAACAGGCTAAACCGAAATGAGCCACAAAGCGGGGCACATCACGTGCTACCATGTGACTTTCCTGCCCTTCAATGCCAAGCCCTAACGCCAAGATCTTGTCTGTCGGGTTTTTTCCCGCCAATCAAACGAGGTTAGGCCTCGGACTTTGCTTGTAACGTTGTATACTCCGTACTTCCAAAGTGGATATGCGACCTACAACTTACAACATACTACACTGAATAGTCATACGCAAAACTGAAATGATTCGAGCTCAATTGATTTACTCATAGTGAGAAAGTTCAATTGCTCCATGAGCTCACCAAAACGCGAATATGAAACCGTGACGCGGACAAAGCTTGCTCCGCCTGAGCCGGCAAGCACTTCAAATGCTTCTGCTATCCCCAAATCGAAGCGCCGACCAGGTCGCACCTTCAAGAACCCGATTCGGAGCAGCTCCTCACGGTCCTCTAGGTCGAGATCTAGCCCCTATGGCCGTCCTTCTAATTCGCCTAGACCCGGAATCTCGCGCCCGCAGACTCCCCGCAGGATGTTGTCCCTCCTTGAGGCCCTCCCCGTCGAGATCATCGAGCAGATCTTCCTGCATTCGCTCAATCTAAACTTCCCCCGAGCTTCGCCGTTCCTATCCCGCGCCCTCTCCGGCGAACACATCTATCGCGCCCTCATCCTCCTTGCATTCTGGAATGATTCGCATTACTACCCCCGTAGCAAGGCTGTCGAGCGCACGATGGTCCCGTTCGAATATATTCCTATCAAACTGGATGAGCGCACCCGCTTACAGGAAGCTGTCTTCAAGTGCAGGTGGTGTACCATGGACCGCGTTCGTGAGCAGATCCCGACAATGCAGATCTTGACTATCCACCGTCGCTGGATCAACGCTGGTATCGTGACCAAGCACGAAGAGCAGGCTGCCTTTGAAAAGTTCCTAGCACGTAAGGATGACAGCGTCCTCGTTTTTCATGGCAAGGGAGAACCATTGAAGGAACTCGCGAGCACGCCCCCAGACTTCTCCCAGATGGCCCCGAACGCGCTGAAAGACACCCACGAATATGAGCTAAATATAATCCCAATGGTTACCACCAAGCTCCAATGTGTGAATCTGAAATTTACCATCAATCTCCCTGCACTGGATCTGTGCAAGTTCCCATCCCATCTCCTCCGCGGCCGCAGCAACGGTTTCCTACCAGACGACGTTGCTTTTCTGGAGATGCTGCGCATGACCTCGTGCAATTGGACCCCTGGAAAGAGCTCCTTGCCACCTTCGACTCTGACCAAAGTCGACCGCAAAGCTCTAAATGAAGGAATCCAGAACGCAATTCGTCACCAGAACTTTAATGCCATGCTCTCCCTCCTCAAAATCGACGAGTTCGTCTTCCGCTACAAAGCAGAGAACCAAGGTCGTGGCGTCTTCTATACGATTCCGCCTGAACACTTCCTCGCTGTCACCCGCACCGGCCGCGATAAGCCACATCTCAACGTGGCTTTCTTTGAGGCTCTGATCCGTGCTAGTGCGGAGTCTTTGCCTAGCTGGTCGTCGGAGATCACGCAGTGGACCGTCGATAATATGGAACTTGCGAAGAAGGACCCGAGTACTTATAACCAGATTAATGGTAAGTTTGCGCGCTGGTTGTCGGATTTCCTGCTGCGCCTCCCTGCGCAGGTTGAGTATGCCAGGAGTTTCCCGAGTGGTCAGCTGTTTTGTTGTGGTCAGTTGGATACCTTGGATGTTGAGGGCGGCCGCTTTCTCGATGAGGTTCTTAAACCGTCCCGTGAACCAATGGAGAATTGGTTGACGGAGAGTTCATTCCGGACTGAGGATTACTGGCTGAAGAAGTTCGGCCCTCCTCTTCCTCCATGAGGTTGTCCCGAGTAGGCTTATGAGGACGTTAGCGCTATACCCGGACTTTAGATTTTTTTGTGATAATTATATAGAGTACCATATATAGATTGAAAATAATAATTTACTTCAAATTAAAAAAATGATCCCACAGCTAGAGTTATTACCCATAGCAAGATGGACTATGTAGAGTACAGCAGGTTTTTGCGTTCATCGCGCTAACTCGGCACCGGTAGAACGTTAATCAGCTGCCATGAATCAACATTTATACATATATGTAGTCTCTTAAAGGCCTAGAAATACCCGTTAAAGGTGCCTCACTAACAATATTAGGGCCCATTTAGCCGTAAAAGACGATCGAAAGATGATAATAAAGTGGGTTTTATGTAGTGTTAGAATTTCTATACCTTGCACAACTTTTATACCTTTCTCTCTTATTTTATACTTCGCATACCGCTATTGATATACCAGGTAGTCGAGGGTATAGTACACCGTCTCACACTATGGACTAACTGTATAATTGGAAGGTGAGAGTCGATAAGTAAATTAATGGCAACATTATCCAATATGAGAGTGTCAGGGGTGGCATACTCGGTCGTATAGGGGGACAACCAAAGCAGCTCAGTTGAACTTTTGCTTATCGCCGTATACCCCCATAATTCCCACACTGATTTATATCCCCGTAAACTCCGACATGGACTATATAGGTAGTCCGATTCTGTCTTACCCCCAACAGGGAATCATTTTGATCCTGCGCGTACTGTACCTGCGTCTTTGTGTATCTATAATTTCTTTACTGGTCCTTGATTCTCCTAATTTCTTTTTAAACAATCACACTTCTCAGACACAAAATTCTCTACTGTATCGTAAATCACTTCCAGACGAGCAACAACTATGGCCTCATACCTGGTGACCGGAGTGGCCCGCGGCCTCGGTCTAAAGAAACCGTGAGGGCGCTGAGCCAAAAGCCGGCCAGCGAGATTTCAACTATTTTCGCCACCCTTCGCTCCTCGCCTCCGCCCGCGTTGCAAGAGATCGTCTCCCAATCGGAAGGTAGTGTGGTTCTGGTGAACCTCGAGGTGTTGGACCCTGACAGTCTCAGTGCTGGACCTTCTCTCGAAAGATAGAAAAGCTCTCAATGGAAAGTTTCTAAATATTCATGTGCTGGGTTGGGAGGAGACCAAAGGACTGCACAAGTATGATGGCCTTGAGATTGAATGGTAAATGGCAAACAGATGTTGCGTACACAGGACAGTATCCGTAGTGGAGCTCGACCTTGCAGATAATGGAATATACGCTGTCATGCTTTTCATACTTTTTTTCAATCTCGGCATTCGACAGAAAACTATGGGAAGATGTCCATCCGTCTACGCATGGACAGTAAACTTGCTCTTCTTCCTCAACTTGCCCCCATACATGAACAAATACCAGAATCCTACCACCAGCGGGATGGTTAGCCCTCCAAGCAAGGTACAGCCCTTTCCCACCCCCAAGTTCAAGTATAGCGGCCGCCCAAAAAGCACCGCACCCGCTGCAAACGAGCTTCGCAGGGCGTCATTAGCCGCAAACAGGCTCGCCGCGTACTCCGGATAACTCAACGGGAGATGTAGGAAGATGCCCAGTCCTACAACAAACGAGCACTCGCAAAACAAGACGACGCCGAGTGTCGGCACGGGCCAGGGAACCGACGCACGAGCTGCCCATCCGAAGAGAAACATGCCGAGTGTTACGCCCAACACGCCCACGAGGCCGGGGCGCAGAAATGTCTCCTGGGAATCGAAAGTGCCCAGCCGCTGGAAGCGGCGCTGGACGAAGACACGGTACCAGGTGCAGTACCAAATTGCGCCGATTATGCATGCGATGAGGACACAGACAAATACGGCACCAGTCTCGCCATTGTTGAAGCCGTATTCTTTGGGGTATACAATAGGGATTACTTCGAAGAAGGAGTAGTAGATGCCGTATGTAAGAGAGGTCTAAGTCTTCCGTCAGTAAATCGTCGCAATATCCAGTACAGCGCGAGCTGTGAGGTAAAAAAGTGAATCTCACATAGAAATTCGCAAATGCAATGGCAGGATCCTTGAGGGTGATCTCAAACGGCTTGATGAGCGCAAGCTTTACCACTTGGCTGCGTGCGACGCCCTTAGACCGCAAGGAATCGATGGTGACAAATCGGTCCGAACCGGTCTCTCGCCGGAGACGCTTGGCCTTATAGAACAGCAGCGTTGGCGTCGATGTCTCTGGAAGAAATAAGACAAGGAGGATGAAGATGAAGCCTGCGAGCCAGACTATCTCCCACATCGACCAGCGCCAACTAGCAATTTTCACGTTAGTATATATCTTCCCATGGCTAGCTACAAGGAGCCTTACCCTTTGACAGATACGGAGAATGCAGATAGCACCGGGCCAAGCGCAGGGCCGCAGTACATGGCACCAGACCAAGCCACCAGGGCGTACGGCATGTATATGACGGAAAACTACAGTTCTCGGTCAGCCTTGGTATGGTTGTATGTGCCGTCGAGCATACCATGTCACTCAGGGACGCTGCCCCGGTCGCCAAACAAGGACTGCCGAAGAAGCCCTGTAGGAAGCGCAAGACGAGGAACCCTACAAAGCTTTTGCAAATCGCAGCTATGACCGACAGGACAATGAAGATTGCAAATGTGATGATGTAGACGGGATTCCGGCCAATATACGGAATCTCACTCAGCGGAGAGAAGAGGAGGGGGCCGATGCCGTCTAAAACCCTAGGTCAGTACTTCGTCAAGTAGCTTCACCTCCGTTTAAAGATACACAAATCAACAACACTCACACCCGAAGACATAGAGAGCCAGTCCCAAGGAGGCGACGGCCTCGGAAACGCCAAACTCTTCCATTACTTGCCTGTGTCAAGTCAACAACACAAATCTTTTGTCAACATGGTAGATGTTTGTTAACGTACTTTTCGCTTGGGACGTATATTGATGATCCGCAGTACACCGTGAACGTGTAGATACTACCAGCACATCGATTAACAGTCGGCCAGCCTAACGGGTTGTTCATCTGACTTACCATATAAGAGACGACACCGCCACCTTCCTTGTTGTCGACCAGTTGTGAGGGCTCTCTACGTCCTCATCAGAGTCCCTATTTGCCGTGTAAGCATACACGCCACCGCTGCAGGCCCGAACAGGACGAAAAAAACGGTCACGCACCATGTCACTGGAATCCAAGGTTGCTCATTCCCCTCCTTGTTCTCAGCGAAACTGGAGTTCATGCCAGTACAGTACTTACGCTTTTCGCTTGGAAATACCATGACTTTGTTCCCCGTAACTAGTCGTGCAAATGCACCGAGTGCTGTTGTCCGAAGGAGATACGCCATGTTGTTTCTCTGTGTATGTCTCGACTGCGCCGACGAACATGATAATTGAATTGACAGAAACTCGAATGCTGCGCCAATAAATAAGAGAATATTTCCTAGCATTCTCCGGTTAGGCAATTCGGGATCATCCCAATGTCGGACTTTCAGTGACCCGCAATTAGGCTATTCGGGGTTACCACGCCCACGACACAGTCACGCCGCCACAGAATCTATACATCCATCAAGGCTGCCTTATTCTTGCACAGGAATAAGGGGCCAGCCTTTTTTTACTTTACGACCTCCATCCACGGCTTTGGTTTGTTTGCGTCGGGGCTCAAGCGGGAGCACAGTTACCCGAGTGGCTTATGGCACGTTCTCAAAGTGCGAATGCTAGACTTACATTACTAGTCCCAGAACTACCATAGTGCACGCATCCCAGCTTTATTTTGTCCTCGATGTCCTGAAAAAAGCCTTTATCAATTAAGACAGTCTTAGCTCCGATTTGTTCCACGTCGCACCTTGAGCGAAGGTGGAGGTGTATGTATATGGTACTTTGACGGAAATGCGCTAATAGGATTGCCTTAGGCCATGGTATCTAATGCATTAAACCATTCTCCGTCAAATATATTGGAAAATATCGCATCCTGTTCAGAGAGAGTGTCAAATCCGACTAGAGGTCGAGGGACCGCATCCTCTCGCATAAGAGCATTGGCGATGACTCGCAGCTCACGCAAGATATTCTTGGCTCTGGGCCAGATATTTTCATAATGCTTGAGCGTACCCAGGCAGACACGTATACGCGATCGCGCCACCTCAACTTCCTCCGGCGTGAATCCCGACTTGCAGGCCACCAGGTAGGCAATTGTGCAGCACGCTATCATGCAAATGAGAAACGGCGAAAGCTGGGCGGCACCTAAAGGTAAGAGGGTCAAGCACTGGTTTTGATTGCGGACGGCTTGGAACAGCTTGTCCGAGTGCGTTCTATGGTTGAACGCACCCGTAGTTATCATGCTGGGAACTAGAGGCGGCGGAGGTGTGCCACAGCTTGACAAGTCTTCGGCGGGATCGTGTTGGAGGTTCGATAATGGCCGATGGATATACGCCAGAGCTCTATATTGTTAGTATAAGCATCGAGTAGTGTTCCTTTGGGGATGCATACGTATACATCATCATGTGGGCTTGGAAGATGAGCTGATCTAAGAGAACTGGCTGTACGGCAAGCTCCCATTTGTCGGGCGGAAGCATGATAAACCAACCAACGATAGAAGCCTCCAGGTCGCTACAGGAGAGTTCCGCCTTTTGCAGGTTTTCGTATTGCGTAGCCACTCTCAATGAGGAGACAAAGATTCGCGTTGCATCGATAAGATAGGCAAAGGATGAAAAGCTTGTGGTCTCTAGCGCGTACTCTCGGTTTCGGTAATCGGTGTAGGAGAGGGTCGTTTGCGGTATATTCTAGGGCTCGACTGTTCAGTAATCGAAAGATATATCACGTTATACAGAAACAATACCGTGGAGCAGTAATCATGGTCATCACAAGGTATGTCGACATCGTGGTCTGTATCATAAATCGATGTAATGAAGTCATACCGAATAACGGAAAAGTTCTGGTCAGCCAAGTAGAGCATCCACCATGTCCGCCTCCAGCTCTCGGCGAGCGTAGGGTCGTTCTCGGCGGCCACATCGGCGAAAGCTTTGGTGTGCATCCCGATCAGCCTCGCTTGCTCGATTGCTTTTTCCAGAAGCGTCTCGGAGGCAGCCCGCTCAGCACACATGCTCTTGGCCAGCGCCATTAATAGTGTCGTTTGAACCACGAATCCGTCTACCACGTCAACGATTTGCTCGTCTGCTAGGCATTCCCTTCGCAAGGAAGACTCCCCGTAAGATGAACCAATGCATTGCATGACGGCGAGCAGCGCCCGTATGCTGGAGCATTCCAACGCTAGCTTCGCTTGAAGATTGGGCCGCGGCAGGACAAATGGATGGCTGCGATGAAAGTATTCGTAGTATAAGTCCAATAGGGTGTTGTCCACGTCCATGCTGTTCTCAACTGAGGTGGCTGAGGCGAGTGGTACCCGGGATGGGATGAAGACTGATGTCTGGTCTTCCCCAGACACGGATGCACGGGTATCGGACGGTGTCAACACATGAGAGGCAAGGCATGATATTGTAGGCTGTTTTCTCCTGGAGTGCGCGGCCTTGTATCTAGCGCTACGTCGTGATTCGGGGTATGAGCACGTTTTCATCAGCGTTTGACATCGCGCACATATGGGGAGTGCGGCGTCGCATTTGAGATGCTGAGTCCGGCATGGCCAACAGGCTAGAGAGGCTCGGGATGCTGATTGGCGATTTATCATATATGCGACAATGTCTGAGTCAAAGTACAGGTCTTTCCAATCTATTCTGGGGCATGTGCTAGTAAAATAGCTCGGAGCCAGGGTCGAATGCATCACAATAGATGGTGAGTCAGCCGCCAGGTCTCGTCCATCTGGGTACTGTCACGGGCCAAGCCAAGCCCAGCCGGGCCCGATTAGAGCCACAGTAGGGGCTTCATCTTGCGACTGTACGGGCTAAGGTTGAGTATCTGGTTTCATTTATACATGTAGTATAGTAGCACTGCAGGATTTACTTAGCTATTTAGGCGAAAAAAATATGAATAAAACAATAAACTGGATTTATAAACCACTCAATTATGGGTTTCTGAGATCTTCCTAAATATTATAGAACCAAAAATTGAGGGTTGGATATTTCCCGCAACTATATAGAGACGGTATCGTGGATGCAAGACTCGGCGAGTTGAATAGTGGTATAGCCGCAGAGTAGTAAAACCATGGCCCCACTACCAATTTGCCTCTCAGCTTGAGGTGAAACAACTAGGATCGACCGCCAAATTGATAACGCCAGCCTTTCGTTAAGGGGACAATGGTTAGGAGTTCTGGTGTACACTTGGATAGGGCTCGCGTGGTGCATTTTATTGAGGTGAGCTGCTACCTTAGCTGCTCCCGCGTCTTGCTCTAGCGAGCAAGTCCTTGAGCTGATGTGATAATCAGGTCGTGCTTAGCGAGCTAGTCAGAGCGCTTAGGTTCGTCCAGCTGATATAACTGCAGTATTAGAGTACAAAATATCAATATGAAACAAGAATTTTAAATGATTTCCGAACAGCAAACCAATTACAAGTTGCTCAACAACCGCAGAATACCAGCAATGCGCCCACCCAGCGTCAACTGATATCCCGTCTCAACAATACCCTTACACACCTCCCAAGCCGCGATCCCACCCCTCGCATCCCCCGCGTTCTCCCGGTCCTGAATAGGATAGTCCAGGCGCGGGGGGATACTGGTGCCAATCAAAGTAGGGAACCGATCAGCGCAAATAGCCTTGAGATTGCACAGACCGCGCAGACCTTCCTCGCCCGCAAACCGGCCATACCCAGATCCGCGGACACCGCCAAATGGCAGCTGCACAGTGTAAAAGGTACCGAAGTCATTGATCGCTACCATTCCGGCGGATATTTTCGACACGCAGGCTTGCACGTCCTTTTGTCGGTACCCGAAGATGCTGGCGCCTAGTGCATATGGGGTTGAGTTTGAGATGGCGATTGCGTCAGATACGGACTCGGCGCGCATCATGAGGAAGACTGGGGCGAAGAGCTCTGTTTGCGCGATCCTCATGTCGCGTGTCACGTCCACTAGCAGGGTTGGTGTGAAGTAGTGGCCGTGTTGGTGGACTGGGTGTTTGTGTTCGGTGCCGCCAGCGAGGAGGCGTGCGCCTTGTTGCACGGCTTCGTTGATGAGTGTCTCGAGGTTGGCGAAGGAGACAGGTGAGATCATCGCACCAACGTCTGGGGTTGCGGTGTCGAGGAGGATAGAGCCGAGGTGGAGCTTCTGAATACGTGGTGTGACAATCTCGATGAGTTGGTCGTATGCGCTGGGGAGGGCGATGATACGCTCGATGCCGATGCAGTTCTGGCCGGATGATTGGAAGACACCGCGCATGAGGAGAGACGCAATGGATGATAAATTGCGGAGAGTGCGGGAGTCATCCAGGATCACAGCGGGGTCTTTGCCGCCTAGCTCGACACATACGGGGATGAGTGACTTGGCTGCTGATGCGCAGACGTGGTGGGCGACGGGCCGGGATCCAATGAAGGTTATATGCGCAATATCAGGGTGGGAAGTGAATGCATTGGCAACATTGGGTAGACAGACTACCATCTGGACTAGATCGCGCGAGTGGCCACAGCTAGAGAGCGCGCCGCGCACCATCTCGAGGAAATAGATTGCAGACCATGCGGTTTGCTCAGATGGTTTAATAACAATTGCGTTACCGGTAAACAGCGCGCTGATGATCGGACCAATAAAGTTGTGTAACGGGTAGTTCCAAGACACACAGGCACCCACTACGCCCAATGGTTCGTACGTGACCGTGTTATTCTTGTACATCATTAGCAAGTTGGTCGGCCGTCGCTCTGGTAACAGTGCCTTCTCGCCATGATCGATTGTCCACTTGAGCTTTTCCACTGTCACAAGGATCTCGCCGAATGAGCCATCAACTTTTGTTTTACCCGAATCGAGACAACATGCGGTAACGAGATCTTCTTGGTGGTCTAGGACATATCTGTGAGATGTTAGTTGACAAGCCTTAGGGGTGCCGTAGCTAGGCAATGCGCAACAGTTTCACCGGGGCGAGCAAATCTGCCAATCCACATACTTCAACAGTGTCCGCAGAACCTTTCTGCGCTCCGCAAATGTAGTCTTTGCCCATTCTGACTGAGCAGCTCCTGCAACCCGAACGGCCTTGTTGACATCGTCGACTGTGGCAGGCTTGATTCCGTTACCGAGCACCCTCCCATCGGCAGGACAGTAGCTCATAATCAGTTGATGGTTCCATTTCTGTGTATTAGACCAGCAGTTAGCTCAAGAATAAGAAAATAAGTCACAAATGGACCCAATCCAAAAGACCAGGTTGGTTAACTCACTCCCCGAGCTTGATCCTGCAATACCATTTTCTGCTGTCCCTGAACCTCATCCCATGTTTTGATTGACCCACTGTTGCGCACTTCGGATGGAATCGGAACATTGAAAACGACTGCTGCCTCTCTCCAGCTCTGGAGGTAGAGGTACCCCACGTACACGGCGACAAGGGAGGTCAACGCGACTCCGATGTACGGGGCATATTCTGCCGACCCGGGAGGCGCGTAGGCATCCAGCAGACTGCGCAGCGCTGGCGGAATGTGGGATGCCAGACAATCCATGGTGGAAATTGGTGCAATTGGACAATTGGAAAGTATTAGGAGAGTAAGAGTTCCTGGACACTTTTTGTGTTTGCGATAAGGCGATAACCGGGCCAAGTGTCCAGTCGTGCCATCCAGGTCACTCCACCATATTATTCCCCGTCCGGTGGAGCTTTCTTTTTAGCTGCTTTTATGAACTTCGAGTCAGAGAGCCAGAGATTCAGAGAGCCCAGAGAGCCCAGAGAGCCCAGAGAGCCAGCTATTTTGACATGTGTTGATCACGTGACTGACCAATGAATAAGTTCATTCGCTTTTGAGGGATTCTCCATTCTCCACTTCTCCACGCTTTGACCCCAATCAACTACTTCGTACCCTTCACTAAGATGTCTCGCTCCAGTAGACGGAATGTGAACTTTTACAATGGTTCAACGGGTGCTCATCTTGGGGGCGTTCGACAGAATGGATCTATCTCAAACGCTAATTTTTTCCACATGCTAATGGATGTCATCCTCGTCGTCGATGAACCGATTTCTATCCACTTTGGAGAGACCGGAGAACGGATGCCAATGAATACGGATCAGCTAACAGAAGGTGACTCGACTACGATATCGTTTGTCCTTGAGGTGAGTCTTTGTTTTGGGAAGATAAATGAAACAATGAGGCTAACTCTATTAGGTGGTGAGATTAAACTGACGGAAGAGGATTGCGTGCGACGAGTCTACTCCCGTAGCCAAAGCGGCACACGTATTCCTTATGGAGCGCAGGGAACTCTGGCGCTAGTGCGATTTCAACCGTTTTATTACGCATCCCGGACGACACTCAGTCAACTCAGCACAGAACGGCCTATTACTCTCAGCACAGACGCACCAGCTATTCGATAGCTATCTCGTTTCCATTAACCCAGACAGACGTAAGTAAATTTACTATACCTTGAGTAAGCGATGAATGGTTGCTAAGGTACATAATATTTAGGATTGCTATAAGATCACTGATTTAAGTGCCAATTACTGGAATGCCGATGGTCGAGTACTAGATATCGTGTGGCGATATCCGAACAATCCTGACAGTGTCGCAGATGAATTACTTCGTTGGCATTTCCGCCAGTCTGTGCTTGCCAACATGAAGGGGCCTGGCGAGCCCATCTTGGAGCACGATTTCCCCCGGGCACTGATATGATGAAATAAATCCTTCAAGGCCCAATTCCGACTGAGCGCATGGAACTGGAGCTGTTTTCTCGGTTGCGGGATTCTTTAGGATGGTGATGAATCCGTCCACTAGGTTACCTGTGGTATCCTCCACGCGACGGTGCCTTGGCATGATAGACTGACTGCCTTTGGTTCTCGTGTGGTGTCCTTGTTTTGCCCTTACTCCTGCTTTCAGATTGCCTTTTTATGCTTTTATCCCCTATGATACCCCTTTACTTGATTGCCCGCGTTTTCTATTTTTAATTTACCTGAATGATATTCATGGGCTGTGCTTTGCACAATAAATACTAATATATTTGTGTTGAGAGCAACGTCAATGGTAAATAGATAATATTATAGAGTACATATATTAGACTCAAAGTCGTTTATCCTCGTAGCTCCATGCGATCATTTCATAAAGATTCCACCTTCAATTCACATAATTTCGTTATCATGAATGCGTTCAGTCGTCACTTGTTTCGTCGGAAAGCGAACTCTCGCTTTCCTCGGTCTCCTCGGAGTCCTGGTTCCTTCTCTTGCGTTTACCAGCCGCGCTCTTAGCAGCTGCTTTCTTAGAAACCACAGTCGGACCATTGCCCTTGCGCTTCCCGTCACGAGTTAACAGGTGATCTATGACACATCCGTCCTCCCAGCCAGCACTAGACTGGCCGGTAGCAGCTCGGCACCGGGGGCAGGTCTTACCATGCCGGATGAACAGCTGGTGAAGCGAATACTTCAAGTGGTCGGGGATGCGCACTTCTAGGTGGCTGAAGGCGCTTACTTCGTTTGCACGTGCAGGAACCCATCCGAGCCAGCGACAGAGCCGGAATATGTGCGTGTCAACGGCGAAACAGGGCCGCTGGAGGCAGAACAGGATCACACAGGCGGCTGTCTTGGGTCCGATTCCGGGGTACTTGATCAGATCCGTCATGGCTTCTTCAGTGGTGAGATTGTGGAGGTGGTTGAGGGAGAGGAAGTTTTGATCTGCACAGGCAATCTCGTATTGCTTGTCCTTTTCAGCCTTTTCAGGGACCGGCTTAGATATTGAGTCGTTCTTGGACTCAGAATCTAATAATGTAGCTCGGCGCGCCTGGTTGTCCTCGTGGACTATGTCAAGGATCGCCTTGAGGTTCTTGCTTTTGATGTCGGCCAAGCCGCCGCTTTTGATCGCTTCAAATACATCTTTCACAGTAGCCTGTCGTACGGCATCCCAATTCACACTTCCTTTGCCGATGCCTTCTGCAAGAATGCCAAATCGTTGCACAAGCCCACCGAAGGCCCTGGCGGCATTGTTGCCCGTGGTGGCACCACTGAGAAGAGTACGGATCAAAGCATCCAGAACAGATGGGACCTCACCACACCCGGTGACCGTCAGGGAGGGCTCAGGGATGGTTATTGGAGCAGTGACTACACCGTGAATGCTGGACAACAGCCGATTGACATCTTCACACTCCTCGGTGGTTGGTCGAACTAGTTCGGGAAAAGGAGAAATACCGGGCGTCAGGCCATAAGTATTCTTCTTTGGCTTGCGGCCGGTTGTGGTAGTTGGAATCTTAGGTTCTTTCTTAGACTGGGTTGTAGCCTTGTTCACAGTGTCTTGGAGCTCAGGAGCCAGATTGTCAACCGATTTGCCCTTGAAAGTTTGGTTTTCCTTGCCAGATCCAGCAACTTGGGCCGAGGGTTCTGTTGCCACAGACAATGGGACCGGCACAGATCCTAGATTGTGAGGGAGTTCATCAAACAAGGCTGGGCGCACCACTGGCTTTTCTTGCTTGATTGCTTGATTGGGATATTTGGGGGATTTTAACTCCGTGATTGTGTTAATTTTGAGTTTATCCAGGGTATTAGGGGCATTGGAAGTGTCGGTGGGGTTGAGATGCTTTCGTTTGTTCACTTTAGTAGTGCTTGATGCTTGAGTAATAGAAGGGCTGTTTTCTTCTCCCGCAATCATTGCGGTTGCAGCCCGTGCTGCAGAGCGAGTAATGCGGCGTTCCATGATAAGACGATCCGGTCAGAGGGCCAGCAAGCGTCGATTTCGTTTAATGTTGCACGGAGATAGCAACGTGCACGATACAAGATGTATCGAGGTGTATCAATTCATTTTAGCAACGAGGCAAAAGGTTAAGCCTGATTCAATGCCGATGTGGGTCAAGATGGGAACGAGATGATGCCACTGGGCAGGGCATCGGCGCGTGACCTGCCTCTTCGGGAATCTCAAACTCAAAAACCAAAACGGAAACTAGCACTTCAGCATGTGAGTATTGCATTTATTTTAATTTCATTAAGAATTATTGACAAGTGTATATCTCAAGACACCGGGTATTGGTATTTTCAATGCATTTCCACATTTCAACATTTCCACATCATTTAGCGGCAAATCGGCCACATATGCTCCATCAAACAAACGCCCAGACACCCAATGCAAATTGCCAATGGTGGAGAAAAAAGAAATTAAAAGAAATCAGATTTGCTCATAATCATGCCTCGTGATCAGCCTGGTTGTGGATGCTAATGTCCATGCGGTCCGAGACCTTCGGGTTTGTTTGGTCTTCGGCGTGCTCGGTCTGTTTGGCGGCACTAGATGCTGACTCGTTATCTGTGGCAGGGATGATCTTGCCATTGGTGTCCATGGCGACTCCATGGGCAGCAATCTGGAAGTCGGTCATATTGGCAAAGCCATTAGCGACAGCCTCCTTGGCCTTGTCAAGAGCCTTGACCTTGCGACCTTCGCCACGGACGGACTCCAGATGTTCGAAGTAACCGGATGAAACGGGGGTAACGTAGCTACCGCAGAACACACCGACCTCGAAGTTTGTGGGCTCTTGCTGGCCATTCTCACGGGCAACCTCGGCACAGGCGTCCTTGAGATCAGGCAGAGTTTGGAAGACAACCGCCTCTGCGCCAATGTGCTTGGCGATGGCCTCCGAGTTCCGATTGTGCGCAACCAACTCTTGAGGAGAGGCAAGATCAATACCGTATATGTGAGCATGTGTGATCTCTGGTGCGCAGCTGGCAAGATAGACCTTCTTGGCGCCGGCTTCCCGGGCCATGTTGACAATTTCACGACTAGTAGTACCACGAACAATACTGTCATCAACCAAAAGGACGTTGCGGTCCTTGAACTCAGCCTTCATGGCATTGAGCTTACGGCGGACACCCCTTTGCCGTGTCTTTTGCTCCGGCATGATAAAAGTGCGGAAGACATAACGGTTCTTGACGAAACCGTGGCAGTAAGGCTTGTTGAGGTATAGTGCAACATTGGTCGCGGACACAGTCGCCGTTTCAGGAATGGGGATGACCACGTCAATGTCCTTGACAACCTCGGGACCCAGGACATCCAGGATCCGTGCACCGAGACGGTCACCCATGCGTTGCCGGCTACGGTACACACTGATGCCATCCATGACAGAGTCAGGGCGAGCAAAGTAGACATACTCGAAGATGTCCGGGGCGTAGGCCTTCTTGGGGGCGACTTGGCGGAAGACCGGTTCACCACCCTTGGCGATGATGACCGCCTCGCCAGGCTGAATGTCACGGTGGTTGCTGAAACCCAGCTGGTCCAGAGCGACTGATTCAGAAGACATCATGTAGTCCATTCCAGGTCCATCCACGGACTGACGAGAGCCCAGAATGAGGGGGCGGATACCGTACGAGTCACGGAAACCCAAGATACCAAAGCCTAGATGGGGAGTTAGTACTGTGGGCTAGGAAATCATACATGATTTACAACTTACCAGCAAGCATAGCAGTGCAGGCCCACCCACCCTCGCAACGTTTGTACATGCGACTCAAACTGGCAAAGAGGTCCTCGTGGTTGACACGGGCCTTCTTAGTCTCGCTCAGCTCATCAGCGAAGACGTTGAGCATCAGCTCACTGTCACTGTCCGTGTTGATATGACGGTGGGCTTCAAGGTCAAGGTGCTTCTTGAGATCCCCGGCATTGATCAAGTTACCGTTGTGTGCAAAGCAGATACCGTAGGGGCTGTTCACGTAGAACGGCTGGGCCTCGGCGTTGGCACTGGATCCTGCGGTGGGATACCGCAGGTGGCCAATACCCATGGAGCCGGGCAGGTTGGTCACCTTAGCACCTTCCTGGAAGACCTTGGCAGCCATGCCATTGGCCTTGAGTTGGTAGATCCGACCCCCAGAGGCACATGTTGCAATACCGGCTGCATCCTGACCACGATCTGTGATACAAAACCTTTAGTCTCGCGGTCGCAGGTGTATGGATTCTGGCCGGAACTCACGTTGGAGAAGGTAAAGAGCCTCGTGCAGATCTACGGCGGCCGCAGATGAGGGGTTCGCTTGGATCAGCGCAATGATACCACACATCCTGACGGAGGATAGGCTTTCTGGATGGACAAAGAGAGTTAGTACCAGTGTTCACCCATTGCATTCACAGTGTATAGTAAGATTGCAGTGTCTCAAGTCAGTTAAGGTGTTTATCCGCAACAATTGTTTAGGAAGTCTAACATCTATAAAAAACCATAGATCATCATAAGAGACAGGGGGGTGAGAAGCTTGAATAAAGCTGAAAGCCAAAAACAATAAAACCATGCCACTTACCAAAACCAGATCACGTAAATGAATGAGGGAAGTTCAGAGAATGGTCATCACTAGAAATGAAAACCACCCCAAGAGAGAGAGAGGGAAAGAAATATTCCATGGCAGATGTGTTCCTTCGGTGGTTGTGCCCCACAGAATGAAAATTTCTCGCTCCTCCGCCCGGGCCGACTTCGGGGGGGTGACCCGTGGAGAGGAGCTGACTCATATCCTTAGTAAGCAGACTGCCCCACTTTTGCCCTAGGTACTGTCCCGAACAGGCTAAGCGTCTGTATGATGTTGATACATACAACTATAGATGTATATGCATACCAGCTTAGAAGGGTCATGCCGACCTTCAATGAGATAAAAAAAATGAATACCATGCCTTTATGCTAGTCTTTCATTCTGCACAAAATAACATGCCCTCTGCTTTGTTGACCAAATAGAAATACATAGACATCCGTATGAATTGCTTCTGTGGGAATTTGGTATGTATAGAAGATCTGGCAAAGCTTTCTGCCACTTCTCTTCAGGACAGTTATCTGAGCCAAATTGTATTCATTCGCGCAAATCTGGTTTCGAATACCCGACTATAGCAGTATATGTGTTTTTGAAGCCATCCGAACTTGAGGCTCTATTAGATTTCAAGATCATCTATCGGTTTGATACCAGTACTTGTTTTCTTTTCTCCATCTTGATTTCAAACCTGTTCTTTGCATCCTCGCACACACTGGGTATGGAAGACTGTCATCGTTCAATTATCACACCAATGGCTGATGCCAATGATCGATCTCGTATTTCGGTATCTCCCTTTGGAGACCCAATCCCTGTCAGTACTGCAGAGTTTCGAGCAGTAACTCATGAGCCAACAATGCCTGACGACGACATAATTATGTCGGATCCGTTAGCAATTTTCATCACTTCACCCATGCAGGAGGCCAGCCACATCTTCCGCCCCACTGAGAGCATGCAGGTCGTCATTGACCTCACTTGCGATGATGAGACCGATCAGGCCATTGAAGAATTGACCTCTGACATGGCACACGTTGCGGCTCCCTCCGCCATCCCCACTGACGACGTCTCAGCAAGTGGCCGGTCTTCCGGCAACTCATCTGTCATCAGCAATCAGTCCGCCAGCTGCAGCCCAACGCCAGAGACCGTGCAGAAGGAGATAAACATTGGGGGTATTGTATTCAAAGCCGGAATATCTCTGGAGCTTGATGATGGGTCTTTTATGCGTGTCGAGGACGTGATTCCTCAGCCTCATGACCTACGTTTTTTCGGCCGGCGTCTTTACCGTACGACTCACCCCGAAGCCAAGACATATCTGCCGAAACTGAACGACGAACTGGTCTGGCTCACTCAGAACACCGACCACGTGAGCATCAAGAAAGTCAGACGGGTTGTGCCCATTTGCTTCACGAATTTTCGAACGGACTTTAACACACCGGGAGAAGAACTGACTTGTCGACTGAAGCTCACGATTCGCCAGACTGGAGTCGTGATCATCCCTGGAAATGCACCTTTGAGTGCAGAGCAGTGTGCCATTGAGTGGCTGACCTTCTCTGAATCAGACCCAGGACATGGTAAGCCCGCAAACCTGCTGCGAGACGAATGGAGAGGCCAGACTGTGCCTTTCGGTGAGGCCAGTGCATCTTCCTTGGCCAAGGATCTTGAACGACAGGGCATGATCGATCTGACTACCCCTGACCGTGCGTATACCTTTGGTGACGCATATTGTGGTGCTGGTGGTGTGTCTTGCGGGGCTAAGCAGGCCGGTATGAAGCTCCAATGGGCCGTTGATATTGACCAGCATGCACTGGAAACATACCAGCTGAATTTCAACGACGTAGAGGTCGAACATTCTGATTTTTTCAGTTTCCTTACCAACAAGTCAGAATTCCTGCGAGTCGATATTGCGCACTGCTCACCCCCTTGCCAAACCTGGTCTCCTGCTCATACTGTGCCCTGTCCTCGCGATGACGCCAACTCCGCGTGCGTATTTTCGGCTGGAAGTTTGATTCAGTCGTCGCGACCCCGGGTGTTGACGATGGAGGAAACCATGGGATTGCCTCAACGCTTCCCCATTATCTTTAACCGAGTTGTACTGGACATGGTTGAGTTTGGATATTCTGTTCGCTGGTCAGTACTGGGGTGTGACGAATATGGTGTGCCTCAAGAGCGGAAGAGACTGCTTCTTATTGCAGCAGGGTAAGTGAAGTGAAAGACGAAGCTTTTTGTATTTCCATTTTAATGCATCTAACCACGTGCCCATAGACCTGGTGAAGTTCTTCCGCATTATGCCCAACCCACTCATGGTATGCCTGGTCACGGTTTACTTCCCCGCGAGACCATTTCATCCACCATTGACAACATTCCTCCCGATGCTGACGATCACAACGTCGAAGGAGCCCTGGCGCGGTGGGCTCTGAGCCACCGACCCTCTTTTGATCGTAACTCTCTGGCCAGGACCATTACTTGCGGGGGCGGCGAATACAACTACCACCCCTCGGGCACCCGGCCCTATACGAATCGTGAGATGGCGCTCTTGCAGACATTCCCTCTGGACTTCCAGTTTACTGGGAGATTCATGCGTAAGCAGATTGGGAATGCCGTGCCCCCGCTCTTTGCCAAAGCTATCTATGGAGAGATCGTCAAGTCTCTAGGTCAGACTGATACAAATGAGGCCATGGGAATCTTTCATTGATTTATAAGAGTGATGGTGATAGAGATGAGAAGAGAAAGGGAGATCAATAGGAGGAGGCTGGGAAGTTGGGGGTGGCCTTCTGGGGTGATGATCTGCGAGCTCACGTGCAGATCAGCCGAGGGCGAAGGGGAGCTCGGTGCGAGCTCTCCATCTAACAACGATTTCTACTCTTTACTTTTTGTTCTTTCTTGCATATTCGGACCGCGTTCATTCCGACTTTCGCTGCATCTTTCAGCTATTGTCTGTTTCTCACTTGTTTACATCCGATACTCGGATTTCTACTAGGGAGTTTAAAAGACGGTAATGTAGCAATAAACTCGTCCAATTGACAAAGTCATAGTGCAATTATTGGCCTGTCAATTTGTAGACAAGGTAATTAATCTCATAAACAAATGGAAATAGATGTACAATAGGTAGAGTGAAGTAATAACCGACTGTAACCGACCCTCGGCAGGATGAAGTCAGCTTGGAACTAAACCCCGGCCATTTTCTCCCTTTTCCCCCAACATTCCTCCTTTCATCCATTTGTTTTTAAATAAGCCATCTTCCCCCCCTCCAATTGTATCATTGGATCTTCAGATTCGATATTCCCAATTCTTTCACAATGTCTCTGCCCGCAGTGAGACGCTTGACCCACACGTCTCCCCGCACTTTGGCCCGCATCTCCAGATTGCCCACTTTGGCTTCTTCCCTCTCCATCTCTCCTTTCTCTGTTCCTCGCACTCGCACTCCCCGTTTCTCTACAATGGCCGCTCGTCAGTCTGCCGCCCCGGCGGTTCATACCGATAAGTCCTACGACCCTGAAATTCAGGATATGGCCAGTTATATCCACGACTATAAGGTGGATTCCGACTTGGCAGTAAGTGAGCCCGTCTCGGTCACATGGAGCACCGGCTAATTCTAAATTTGTTGTGTACAGTTTGACACTGCCCGTCTGGTGTTCTTAGACACCCTTGGCTGTGGATTGGAGGCTCTAAAATTCAAGGAGTGTACAAAGCTCCTTGGCCCCGTTGTGGAAGGCACTGTTGTCCCCAATGGTACCCGTGTGTTTGGCACACCTTACCAACTAGACCCCGTAAATGGCGCTTTCAACATTGGTGCTATGATCCGTTGGCTCGACTATAATGACTGCTGGCTCGCTGCCGAGTGGGGTCACCCCTCGGACAACCTAGGTGGTATCTTGGCTGTGGCCGATTGGATCTCGCGCACAAACCGCGCCGGCGGAAACCTTGGCAATGGCAAGATCCTGAAGATCCATGATGTTTTGGAGGCCATGATCAAAGCCCATGAGATCCAGGGTGTCCTGGCTCTGGAGAACTCCTACAACAAGGTCGGCCTCGACCACGTTGTTCTCGTCAAGGTTGCGACCGCCGCTGTCGTCTCCAAGATGATGGGCCTCACTGAGAAACAGACCGCCGATGCTATTACCCAGGCTTGGGTGGACGGCCAGTCTCTCCGTACCTACCGTCACTCGCCCAACACCATGTCGCGTAAGTCGTGGGCTGCCGGTGACGCCTGCCAGCGCGCTGTCAACCTGGTGCTTAAAGTCCAGAAGGGCGAGGGTGGTCTCCGTACCGTTCTCTCTGCCCCCACCTGGGGCTTCTACGATGTCCTGTTCAAGGGCAAGAAGTTCCAGTTCCAGCGCCCCTACGGCAGTTACGTCATGGAGAACGTTCTGTTCAAGGTTTCCTATCCTGGTAAGTGCAAGGATATTTTGCAGAAAATGACACCGTATAAAAATTGACAGCAGCTAATTCGTATTTAATAGCCGAGTTCCACTCCCAAACTGCCATTGAGGCCGCTGAAAAGGTCAACGCTAAGCTTGCGTCCATGGGCAAGAGTGCCAAGGACATCAAGGAGATCACCAACCGCACACACGAGGCATGCATCCGCATTATTGACAAGCAGTTCAAGGAGATGGATAACTTCGCCGACCGTGACCACTGTGTGCAGTACATGGTTGCCACCATGCTTGTCTTCGGCCGCTTGACCGCCGGCGACTACGCTGATGGCTCCGAGGCCGCTACCTCCCCTCTGTTGGAGGATCTCCGCAAGAAGATCCGCTGTGTCGAGGACACCAAGTTCACCACCGACTACCACGACCCCACCAAGCGCACCATCCCCAACGCGCTGACCGTTACCCTAAACGACGGCACTGTCCTCGAGGAGATCGTCGTCGAAGCTCCTCTGGGCCACCGTCTCCGCCGCGAGGAGGCTAAGCCTGAGATTCTGGCCAAGTACAAGCGTCATCTCGAGGCGCACTTTGACAAGGCTCGCGTCGATGAGCTTCTGGAGCTGGGCTGGAACCGCTCTCAGCTGGAGAACTACGATGTTGACCAGTATGTCGACCTCTACGTGAAGGATAAGGTGATTGCCTCCTCGTAAACAATTGAATAAACGGGTGATCTGGTGTGCTGTGCTGGAAATCACACGTGTATGACGAACATATCTTTTATATACCGCAAAATGTATAGAGCCTTTTTTAGTGTTTCTTCAGTATTCTTCCATTCACAACATAACTATACGTAACTATACATAGGTCTCTTCATTCTTAGCCAGAGGCCCCGGGTGTGCATGTCACCCCCAAATTCGACGGGGTATTAGCACACAGCACCTCACTACCCCCGGATGGCGCCTTAACAGTATATGCATCAACCTTGACATCACAAGTTCCACCAGATCCACAAGCAAGACTGCCCGTAACAGCCTTATACTTCCCACTCGTGGTGCCACTGAACTTCTCAAAAACGATACCATTCAAATCCGCATTTCCAGGATTATCCACGCAGTAATCGGCATCCTCTCCATAGCAACTCTGAATCTGGATTGCATAGTCACACCCATCAACCACAACACCCGTGAAGGTAACATTGCTCACTGTTGACATGCCATGACTTCCACCAGTGGGATACGTCTTGATACCCGCCGCTTTAGTCGAGTCAATCATCGTCGCGCCGGACACGTGCACATTCTTCACCCAGTCGGCGGAACTCTTGCCCAGTGATCCTACCGAGAGTCCATGGCTTCCGGTGCAGGTAATATCCGTGACTGTGACACCGTCTGCACCGGGCTTGAATGCCACACAGTCATCGTCGTTCTTCACGTTCACATTGCTGATGACGACGTCTGTGCTGGCGCCGATGTCGAAGCCGTCTGTGTTCTTCGGCTCATTCTTGCTTTTGGATGTGGCATCCATTGTGAGATCAGCAAATATCACGGTCTTGGTGTTGCCTTTGACGGAGTTGAACACGTTGGGCGGGTTTTTTTGGCGAAGGTTTGATACCTCGATGTTAGAGCCGCCGGTGATGTAGAGGAGGGTTGGGCGGGCGTAGCTGCTGTCAGCCGCGAAAAGGTCCCATCTACATGTGATATTAGTAAACTGAAATGAGGATCGAAACAATGAAAGGAAAGAAATGCATACGCATTTTGCCCATTTCCGTCAATAACTCCACTTCCCGTCAAAGATCTGATTTTAAGTCCATCAATATTCTTGACATTGATCATTGCTGTCTCTCCCTCCCAGAGATCAGTCGATGAGCTGAATTTCAAAAGTCCTTCTACTTGGAAATCACAACCAACACATCCCGCAAAATCTAGTACGCTGTTCAGGTAGTAGGTTTTGCCGGCGGGAATAACTATAGTGCCTCCCTTGCCGCATGAGGCAATTGCCGATGTGATAGCGGGAACATCGTCGATTGAGGCAGATCCACCGGCTGATGGTGTGCAAACCGAATCACGAGCCTTGAGAGGTCTTGTGTTGTCTGATAGGGCGAGAGTTGAAGTGAGGAGCGCAAAGGCTGCGAGGGATCTTGTTATCGACATGGCGCAAGTGAGTGAGGGCATCACAGCTATAACCTGGGGATAACTGCGTATCTAGTGAATTTATCACTCTTATAACTTTTCCGTTCTCCTTTCTCCTCTCCTTTTCTCCCTAGTGTTTTACATTTTGCATGTGGACGACTCCAATGTTTTGTCAACGGAGAAAATAAGACAACCTGAAACGCCTCCGCTTTAGCGTCAGCCCCGTCATTCGAGGAATATATTTTTCTTCGGTGAATATCATTTCTTCATTCTTCAGCAATAATTACCTGAGTTGTTATCCGGTGAATCTTTGACGTTGATTACCCCGGATATATGATTTACACTGCATATACACTTCCCTTAAAGCCACGAGTTCCGGAATGTTGTGGACCTCCGTGAGACAAGTATCAAATTGAGAGGAATGAGACAATTAATATGCTGGGGATAAATTCCCTAAATACATTTACCCCTGACTAAAGATAGCAATGGCCGAGGAAAGCTTCTCATTTATAAAAATACCTCGGAGTGGAGAATAGTATGTCTCATCAACTATAGCTCCGGTGGACACGGAGGATCCTCACCCTTGAAACAACTTTCGCATGACAGTCTCACCTCAGATAATGTATCTTAAAGTGCATATAGTCCGACAATCATTCCCTTCTCCCCGGTAAATCAACAATCCCTACCAAATGCATCTACGCACCCTCCTCCTCACAGCCCTATCCCTCGGGACAGATGTTCTGGGCGCACCCGCCGAACTAGCCACTCGCGCAACCATGACTAGTGCCCCATCAGGTTGCTTGACAGTCGGCTCGAGTGGAAAATACTCGACTATCGGCGATGCCTTGACTGCTCTCGGCTCATCCTCGGCGGCGGCTTGTATCTATATCGCAAGCGGCACATACAACGAGCAGATTACTATCAAATACGCCGGTGGTCTGACTTTGTATGGTCAGACTGTTGATACACAGACGTATAAGGAGAACACTGTTACTATTACCCATACCATCTCTTCGCCTGAGGCCGGCTCACTGGATAAGAGTGCTACTGTGAATGTTGTCTCCGCTGGGTTTAAGATGTATAACATCAACGTGGTGAATGGGTACGGGACTGGTGCCCAGGCTGTTGCGTGAGTATTCATTTCTTGCCTTGATATTTGAATTACTTACTCACTATACCAGACTCGTCGCCAATGCCGATAGACTTGGCTTCTATGCATGCCAGTTCCTTGGATACCAGGATACCCTGTACGCCAAGTCGGGAACACAGTACTATATCAACTCCAGGATTCAGGGTAAGTCATCAGTCATTTTCTGTAATATCTATCCACCTCACCTTTGCACACTAACGATTCCTAGGATCCGTGGATTACATCTTCGGCGCCGCCTCCGCCTGGTTCGGCAACTGCGATATCGTCTCCAACGGCCCTGGTTATATCACCGCCAGCTCGCGCGAGACAGTCACTGACACGGCCTGGTATGCAATTGATAGCTGCAACATTAAGGCTGCGTCTGGAACTAGTGATGGCACTGTATACCTTGGCCGTCCGTGGCGAGGACTTGCTCGCGTCATCTACCAGAACTCCAAGTTGGGTAGTTTGATCAATCCTAAGGGATGGGCGACAATGGCGGAGGGTGCTACACCATTCTACTATGAGTTTAACAATTCTGGAGATGGGTCGGATACTTCTGCGCGCCTGTATGAAACTGCGATCTCGGCGGCGGTCACGAAGAAGACGGTTTTGGGTAGTGATTATGCTAATTGGATTGACTCGAGCTATTAATGGACTATGGAGACCAGGGTCTAGGTTGTGGAAATGTATTTTAATGGTGTGTTGCTTGTATTCATGGATATATTGTATATTTACAAAATCCTTAGTCCCTAGGCTCATAAGAATAAGGCAACAACTCATCAATAGAGACAGATTCCACCTCCCCACCCTTCTGCACAATAACCTGAATCCCGGGGTGCAAATCATGCAGCACCTGTCGACACCGACCGCAGGGATTGAGAATCACTCCATCGTGGCCGTCTTCCCCGACAGCAACAATATGCGATAGACGGGGAGTCCCGGCACCCGCGGCTACACCGAGCACCACGAGTTCGGCACATGGTCCGCCTGTAAAGTGAAATACGTTCACACCAGTGAAAACTTGGCCATTGGCCGTTAGGGCTGCGCTGGCTACGCTGTGAGCATCGGACTTGGGGATTGCATTGATTGTTGTTCTTGCGATCTCGACGAGGTTGGTTTCTTCGGGAGTTAAGTCCATAATGACGGATGAAGGGATTCGATGTTTTCGTGTTGATAGAGGTATGTGCAATATAATAAGGACGTCTCCGACCAGGAGAGTCTAGATGTAGATGCCAATATGTACGGAGTTTGTATATGTTTTGAGAAAAAAAAGGAGAAGCAGTTTAAAAGTTGTCTCCATAGCGGGGTCCTAAGATAAATTTCCTATTCCGGTGCCCGATTGCTCAGATGTGATTGTTGCGGAAGAGAGTCTACGATCATGATACTTTAGTATATACGTCCTGGTGTAAGGAGATGATGTGAAAAGCACATTAGGAGGAAAGTGTTGAGCAGATCATCCCTTGAAAGGGGTCCAACTACGCCATGAAAATGTCCATTCGGTCGGAATAGGCTTTTTTGTATCACTACCGTAGTGAATGTAGTTCCCTCTATTATGTTTGCGTATGAATACATAAAACAAGGTCTTCCCCTAAGGCCTATTTGGAGAGATGGACAAAATATGTATGAATGTGGATCAAATAGCTGAATTAACATGCTTCGTGTCACGCTGAGGGATATCTTAAAGAAAAAAATGACGCAGAAAAGAAAAACTCAAAGGCGAAAGCAAAGCGAAGAAGAGAAAAATCGCGAAGAAAAAGCAAGAAGCTGTAGTGATCCCACTGGGCAAACTTTGGAGGGTATGCATGCAGAAGGAAGTCATTCTTTCCGGAAATTATCCTCGTGCTTCTTCCTCTGGCGAATACGAAGCTTGGCAGATTGGGCACTTGTACCGACGGTATTCAAACCAGGATTTGAGACAATCTAGGTGGAAGGCATGCTTGCAGCGATTTAGTACGAGAACCTCGCTACCGGGTGGGCAATGCCGTGCCCCGCATGAGCAGCGGGGGTCTGGCCGTGTAGTCGGGTTGTGATGCTGGTCACGGGCCAGAACGGATGGATCGGGACAGGCGAGGTATGGAGATGACGACAGTGCTGATAGACAGATGGGGCTGGGCGAAAGTTAGCTTAATTCTAGAAGATTCAGACGATTTGTCCAGGATGGCGTAGTCTGTTATTAGACCACGATGTGTTTATCTAGGAACGCAAATTGGCAGGGGGGTATTTGCGGGCGAGACTTTGCCCAGAAACATGAACCCGCCTCGACAAGAACTCGTCGATCCCGATAGGGCGGAGGGACCCAGAGCCTAGCCCTAGTGTCCCCGCACTACATCATCGAGCCGCAGGGCCAAGAAGTTCAAGGAGGGGGAGCCGGAATCGGAGACCGGTGGAATGCTGAGATATCACACTTACCAAGTATCTTGGCCGTATTGCTGGGCACTGGTGGGCACGTTTTGTTCTTCCAACCACCGGTCCACAGACACCGGTTGACCCAACACGTTCTGCAACTGTACCTGATAGACCGGTGGGAGAACCGTAGTTTGGGCCATTGCCCCCATGGCTGCCCGTCGTCGGTGATGCCACATGATCATCCTGAGTCGAAAATACAAATTAGTGATCGGCAAGTCAGAGCTTCGAGAACAATTTGTATGCATAAAGCGGGGGAGCCAAGACCATCGGCCCTATGTACTCACACCGGAATCATGCTGATCAGGGAAAACAGCGCAACGGCCCCAATCACAACCCCGATTATCTCCTCCCGGGGCATGGAATTGTCCGCCATGAGTGGGTGATCATATGGGTTCTGGGTCCAAGCGAAGAAGATACGAGAAGAAAATAATAAAATAAAGAATTGCAATATCGCCCAATAGACCCAATAAAAATAGAGGGATAGCGTAGCGTGAGACAATGTGCAACCTGGATCGGATCATTCGGGTCAATCATGTATTCAGGCACCGTATATCCAATAAAAGCCGATCTCCCATTATTGGAGGCAAAAAAAAAAAAAAAAAAACCAGTTTAATCGGTTTTTTGCCTCACGAGAGTAGAAAATGTCCCCGGAGAAATAGGTGGATTTGAAGCGGAGGGACTCTCGAGCCCCAAAATGCCAAGAACTTCCAAGAGCCAAGAGCCAAGGCGCCAAGAAGTGGGAAATAAACCAGAGCAACCAAGGGCGACGACCTATCCAGCCAAGGAAATGCCAAGAGGCCTCCGCACCAATCATAATCGGAGAATTGTCGCGTGCGCGACGGCTGAGACCTCGCCTAGAATCGTTTGCGTCATCAACTCAATGGGGCAATTGAACATGACATGCCAAGAAAGATCTTAATACCGAGACCTGGGGATGGAAGCTGATTGGATGTCAGGCTATCATGATTGCTGGTTCCCCGGATGTCGGACGCCATTTCCATCAGATTACTTCCGGTTTAACAGCCGTCCGTTCGCCATCGACAAGTTTGTGATCTTATTTATACTCTGAGACATCCCCCCGGAAGGAAAAAAAAAAAAAGGTTGTTTCATAGAAGTGTACCTATTACTCAAAGTAATTCCGGTGTATGGACTGTCATTCTCTTACACATTCCTTCTTTATGATGCCCCCTTAAGAGCCTCATAGAAGTACATCGTTCAATTCACTCAATTCGCCCAATCTACTCAGCTAGAAACACACCACTCCGTTCGCCTGATGTCGCAGGAAGCCCAAAAGGGCCCAGGCCCTCAGTGCCCCGCTGACAATACACAACAGCCTCTCTCCCAACCCGCCCATAGTCTCTCATTTGAAGATGTCATCGGCGAACTACAAACCAATTCCGACGATGGGTTGACATCTGCAGAGGCCAAGCAGCGCGTTGAGAAATATGGCCAGAATATGCTCGAAGGAGACGAGGGCGTCTCC